GAAGTTGGCCACAAACGAGAGCTGGAACACCTGAGTCGTGGCCAGCGAGGCGAGGCAAGGAGCGGTTGTCAGATTATGTGTTGGAGGCCCTAATGGTTTCATGTAGATTTAAATTTAGCGTCACCCGTTGGTGAGTGATAGTGGATTTAAATAAAGGGGGACAGGAGGCTTGGAGCATTGGAGGCGTGGTGCAATGTGGGCTTAAAGCTATGGAGGCTTGGAGCATTGGAGGCGTGGTGCAATGTGGGCTTAAAGCTATGGGGGCTTGGTACAATGAAGGCGGGGTGCAATGTGGGCTTAAAGCTATGGAGGCTTGGAGCATTGGAGGCGTGGTGCAATGTGGGCTTAAAGCTATGGGGGCTTGGTACAATGAAGGCGGGGTGCAATGTGGGCTTAAAGCTATGGAGGCTTGGTGCAATGAAGGCGTGGTGCAATGTGGGCTTAAAGCTGTGGGGGCTTGGTACAATGAAGGCGTGGTGCAATGTGGGCTTAAAGCTATGGGGGCTTGGTACAATGAAGGCGTGGTGCAATGTGGGCTTAAAGCTATGGGGGCTTGGTACAATGAAGGCGTGGTGCAATGTGGGCTTAAAGCTATGGGGGCTTGGTACAATGAAGGCGGGGTGCAATGTGGGCTTAAAGCTATGGGGGCTTGGTACAATGAAGGCGGGGTGCAATGTGGGCTTAAAGCTATGGGGGCTTGGTACAATGAAGGCGTGGTGCAATGTGGGCTTAAAGCTGGGGGGGGGGGGGGTTGGAGTAATTGGGGTTTGAAGAAATGAAGGCTTAACGCAATGGAGGCTTGGTACAAAAGAGGATTGAAATAATGGAGTCTTGGAACAATATGGGCTTGGTGCTATGAAGGTTTGGAACAATGTGGGCTTGGTGCTATGAAGGTTTAGTGCTATTGGGACTTGGAGCAATGGAGGTTGGGAGCAACGGAGGCTTGGTACAATAAGGCTTAGGGTCTATGAAGGTTTGGAGCAATATGGGCTTGAAGCAGTGGGGGCATGGTGCAATAAAGGCTTGGAGAAATAAAAACTTAAAGCAATAGAATTAGTTACAATGGAGTTGTGGGTGTAATCGGGATTTGGAGAAATACTTACGCAATAAATGTGTGCTTGTTTATGGGGTGGGGGGGGGGGGGATATTCATAAACTTAAAATGACAACATTGAAAAAAAAATGCTAATACATTTTTGTTTTCGAATTTCCCTTTAAGAAATATCAAATCTAGGATCACCTTTACGAAGCCGTAATGTTTTGTTATTGTAAGCCATGTTTCCACGACACGGTTCAGTGAACACAGCATGTGTCGCTGCAGTAGAAGATCTATTAATAACTTCAACTTTTTAAAAAGTAGTTTTCATTTTCAAATTTTATTTTTAAAATTTTGTTATGTAACGAAAAACAAAACAAAAACAAAGCAAATTATCGCTACGTTTTATCTGGCAACTTGCCGTTTTACAAATATTTTCAACCAATTCTGACACAGGGGAGACAACAATAAAAATTGGAGTTTACATCCCCTTGTATATAAAAAAAAAGTTGTTGGCGCTGGTGCACTTCACACAGGTAAAGAAAATTTTTGTCCTGGCCAAAATATTACCTGGTATAAACTGGCCAAAATATTACCTGGTATAAACTGGCCAAAATATTACCTGGTATAAAGTGGCCAAAATATTACCTGGTATAAACTGGCCAAAATATTACCTGGTATAAAGTGGCCAAAATATGACCTGGTATAAACTGGCCAAAATATTACCTGGTATAAAACTGGCCAAAATATTACCTGGTATAAACTGGACAAAATATTACCTGGTATAAAGTGGCCAAAATATTACCTGGTATAAACTGGCCAAAATATTACCTGGTATAAACTGGCCAAAATATTACCTGGTATAAAGTGGCCAAAATATTACCTGGTATAAACTGGCCAAAATATTACCTGGTATAAACTGGCCAAAATATTACCTGGTATAAACTGGCCAAAATATTACCTGGTATAAACTGGCCAAAATATTACCTGGTATAAAATGGCCATTGTCCTTGGTAAAGCCTGGCCTAATAGTCCCTGGTTATGGCCAATGTCCTGGTATATTGGCCACCAAACCTTTCTAGAATTTATTTTTTCTACAAAGATCTGTTACCTAATCGAAAGTAGCAATTATTATTAGTGTGTGCGTGTGTGCGTATTCCACAGCTTCTGTTAGTTGTGTGAAACGAATCAGCCACATCTAGCTTTAGACTATCACCTTACCTCGAACTAAACTTATTCCTGAAACTGCAAAAGATACCCCCAGAGTATCTTTCAGGCATTTCTTCGAGGTGGCACAAAAGCATATCTCCCCCCCCCCCCACCCATGGACAAAATATTTTTTTAAATACTTTACTTAGAAAATATATACTTCAAGCAGTCCCCACCACTGAAATTTAAGTGCGCCCCCCCCCCACGTAAGTTTAAGCGCCTCCACCACCACAGAAAAAAAGTCTGAAAGAAACCTTTGGTGTCCCCCCCTTTCTCACACAATAAGAATGCTACTGCCACTGCCACAGTTTGAGGGTCCCTGACATGACGTCCCGCCCATCTGTCAGTGTCAGAAGGACCCGCGAGTTTCCGCGTGCAAGACGTTTTATTCATGCAACCTCGTCACAACTAGACAACCAGGGTGCTATTTTTAGACCACCGCGGAACAATAATTACGGTCAGAAATGCTTTGAGTGAATAAACATACCTTCAGTGGCGTAGCTTGGGGGGGGGGGGGAGGTCTCGGGGTGGGCTCAGTATTTTGTCGACCTAAATATTTCCAAGTGGCTTTCGGGCATTTGTCGCATTCGGGCAAGTGTCCATTCGGGCATTTGTCGCATTCGGGCAAGTGTCCATTCGGGCATTTGTCGCATTCGGGCAAGTGTCCATTCGGGCATTTGTTACATTCGGGCAAGAGTCCATTCGGGAAATCGGCCTTCGGGCAAACGGCATTCGGGCATTTGTCGCATTCGGGCAAGTGTCCATTCGGGAAATCGGCCTTTGGGCAAACGGCATTCGGGCTAGTGCCTTTCGGTAGAACGCCCAGCTGCCATAAAATAAACCCCTCCCTAATAATTTTTGTAGGGGTAAAAGTAAAACAAATGCTGCTGATAAGCTTCTAGTTTAGACACCCCACTCCCACATACGTTACGCCCCTGCTTAAAAATTCGGTCAAGATTTGTGAATCAGCGTATTCATATTTATATATGTCGTCCCTTTAAATGTTGGTTTTTAACACATACCACATCCACCTTTATTTTATAATAGGGCTCTATGTTTTCACCAACATATTGTGTCTTCTATCACCAACTTACCTTGCCCGGTTTAACTAACTTCTCATTTACATTTTCAGTTATATTTAACCTTCCTTCGAGTGGAAGGCTGTCATATTCATAAGACGCACTAGTTAGAAATAAAACAAAAATAAAAAACCAACTTTTTAGCAACCAGCTTTTAAATGCACTGAAAATATGAAAATAAAACTAATCTGCCTTCTTATGTCGCTAAAATATGTAAAAGATCTCATGAGGGACCAAAGTTATATCATATTGAATGATAAAATTTTGTTTTCTTCCATTAGTTTAAACAGTTTAATTAATGTTTTAATGACTAATTAAACATTTTATTAAATTTAAAAAAATAGAAAGACGTGTGTTGTCATCGATGTGGAACGTATCTGGAAAGTTTGAACGAAATCGCTGCTTTAGAAGTGGGTCAAAATTGAGTTACAAGATTTGCCACAAACCCACAAACAAACAAACAAACAGATGCTGCGAACCAAATACAACCTTGTTATAAAAACGGGCCTGGAAGGCTCTGCCGAATTGTCATTATTTAGTAATGTACGCTAACATTTAATTATATGGAGAGTTTCGGGTTAACTGTCGTGCAGTCAATCACCCGACCACGTCGTCCATAACACACTTCTTCTAGTTTTTACAAATTATTTGAAATCTCAATCATTTTTATGGCAAACAAGAAATTCACTTTTCAAATTTATTTGAAACGTTATCGAACAACAGTTCAAATAATAAGGTATTTTGATATTTTGTCAAGATAATAGTATATGGTTCTTATTTCAAGTGCACCTAAGTAATTTGTAAGTAAAACTTTTAATCTGTTAACTTTCACTACACTTCCTTCATTTTTATCTGGCAACAATAACAGCAGCAATTTGTCTTCCACGCTCGCTTATCATTATATCAAGGCCATCTCGGGAGATGGTCGCAGGGACTTAAGGCACGGCACTAACAGAACTCGGTCAGGACAAAGCATATTCAGGTCTTTCGCCTGACTTAATTAATTAGACGCAGGGCCGTTTTGTGTGTGTGTGTGTGTGTATCTGTGTGTTTGTGTGTGGTGTGTGTGTGTCTGTGATGTGTGTGTGTTTTTTGTGTGTTTTTATGTGTGCGTGTGTGTGTGTGTGCGTGTGTGTTTATGTGTGTGTGTGTTTATGTGTGTGCGTGTGTCTGTGTGTGTCTCTGTGTGTGTGTCTGTGTGTTTGTGTGTGGTGGTGTGTGTATGTGTATGTGTGTGTGTGTGCATTACCAACATATAAACAAAGTTTATATCAAATGCGAACAAGAGTACAATATATATTTTGGTATTGATCGATGTACGCATAACGTGCGTTGATATTCTAGTGTACAAGGATATGAACTGTAATTAGATAACAATATTTACACATGTACACATTGGCGTATAGAACCTATTGATTGGGGAGCTGGCAGAGGCTAAAATTCTTTGCCTATATATATATATATATATATATATATATATATATATATATATATATATATATATATAGATATAGATATATATAGATATATATAGATATATATAGATATATGTCCAATGCCCCCATCATACACGTAATTTATGTACATGATTAATACATCAAGAGCCTGAATACCAGCATAAACATATCAAAGCCAAAAAACAGAGAACATAAAGGCCGTGCATAGAATAGCCAGCAGGGAACAGATGCACACAAAGATACAACACTGCCAGTTGACGGCCCTGTGGGACAACGCTGTAATTATGTAACGGTTTGTTTTGAGTCAGTCTAGTACCGTCTGAGTGGGACCATAGAGTCCGTGACTGATGTGACCATCGTTAGTGGGAGATAGAGAGAGTGTTGGGATACTGTTGGGATAGTGTTGCTAGAGGAGTGATAAGGCATGGATCGATGTTAAGAGATATACGCCAGCAGTGGATACGATAGGGAGAACGATACACACAGACAGGTAGGTGAAACATTGTTGGGCTCACATAGGATCATATATCAATTGAAGTGTCTAGTCTTAAAATGTTTTTACAACTTGTTTGGTGTGAATATATATATATATATATATATATATATATATATATATATATATATATATATATATATATATATATATATATATATATATATATATATATATATATATATATATATATATATATATATATATATATATATATATATATATATATATATATATATATATATATATATATATATATGTGTGTGTGTGTGTGTGTGTGTGTGTGTGTGTGTGTGTGAGTATATGTGAAAGCTGTCAAGGTCAGATTATTCAATCAATACATTTAAGACCAATGCACATTTCATAAAAGCTCTAAGGCACTAGCTAATCCATTTGGTAGGGCACATCTTGTCACCCCCCCCCCCACCCCACCCCACCCCACCCCTCTCACATAACGATTGAAGGGGAAATCGCTCACAAATCTCACTCTTGTGTTCACATTTTGTTGATTAAAAACTGCTTATCTTGCCAGTTAAAGCAAGTTGACATGTATTGGATGTAAGTCGCAGTACATGTCAAATGGTGACATCAGCTCACTAACCTAATTAGAGAGAATGTTAGACTGATTGTGTAACACTAGACTGGAAAGACGGCATCCTGGATAACAATCAATATAACAGACAAAATATAACAGACTGCATGGATAACAAAATATAACAGACTGTATGGATAACAAAATATAACAGACTGTATGGATAACAAAATATAACAGACTGCATGGATAACAAAATATAACAGACTGTATGGATAACAAAATATAACAGACTGCATGGATAACAAAATATAACAGACTGTATGGATAACAAAATATAACAGACTGCATGGATAACAAAATATAACAAACTGGATGGATAACAAACTGTCTAGTCTAGTGGTGACACACGTCCAGCTAGTGGAGAGTGTCTAGTGGTGACACACGTTCATCTAGGGGAGAGTGTCTAGTGGTGACACACGTTCATCTAGGGGAGAGTGTCTAGTCTAGTCTTGACAGGTGAGCAATCAGCATGCAGGTGAGCTGGTGACGTGTACGGGTGCAATTAGCATCAAGCGTGAGTCAAGCGAATTCAGGTGGCGTCACAAATGGAGGCACAAAGTGAACAGGTGCAGACACGTCAGCGGTTGCTGCTCATTTTCTTCAACGGCTAATAAATAGTCACGTGATCATCTAGCTCAGGGGTCTCCAAACTTTTCAATCCGAGGGCCGCATTAACTATCAAATTTCAGTTCGGGGGCCAGTTTCTTCCAGGTATGTCTTTGGTTTTTCTGGCCAAAGTTCCTCAGCTATCACCAACAAACGATATTTCCGTGGACAAAAAGATCTCCGCGGGCCGGATGAGAGGACTTCAAGGGCCGCATCCGGCCCGCGGGCCGTAGTTTGGAGACCCCTGATCTAGCTTTGTTATACTATCATCGTCATCAACCCCATTATCAGAATAATCCGGATACTTTTGTTTCAAGTTGGTTTACCACACAGCCAGTGCTAATTCCGCACTGTCCACGAAACGTCTCATTGTGGGGGGGTCGGCGTGGTCGAGTCGGTTGCTAAACCGAAAAGTCTCGAGTTCGAACCCTCGGGCAGTTGAGGCTCGTTAGCTGGGGACAGCCACTCTTCTAGGAGAGACAACTCCAAAATCAAACAACTGCTGCCTTGTAGTTTGTTCTTGGTTGGACAAAGGCTATGGAAGCAAATCCAAAAAGAAAAGCAGGCTGAAATCGGAGTCAATGGCATCAATGGCGCATAACAGTTGACACGTAATACTTAATTGTGATGGAAGCATGGTCGAGTCGGCAAAGCTCATGGTTGATAAATTCGAAAAAAAAAGTCTCGAGTTCAAACCCTCTGGCAGATAAGGCTCGATCCCTCCCAACACTAAAAATTAAGAACGAAGAAGAAGAAGAAGTCTCATTGTGGGACACTAAGGCTGTTGGTCTATACTCCATCTATAGTAAAGTCATGCTCATGCGCTTTGTTGTATACGTTCCGATGGCTTTTTATACTTTCTCGTATACGAAGTATTCAGAAATTATTGTAATCGTGCAAAAAAAAATATATAGACGTTTTACACCTCCCTGAGTCGGAAAAACATAGTTTTGCAATCTTGTCCGTATGTCTGTGTGTGTGTGTGTGTGTGTATATGTGTGTCTGTGAACATGATAACTTGAGTACCGTTACAGCTAGGTTGATGAAATTTCTATTACAAGTATATCAAATTTGTAGTTCAGTATCAACTTTTCAGCGATTTCCGATAAGTAAAAGTTCTAATTATATCTGTCTTCTTTCAAATTTTGAGTAATATCCGTTGACCAGAAATAGTAATTTAAGCTATTTCCGATTTCTCAAAAAACTCATGTGAATTTATAAAGTACTAATAATATTCCGCACTATTATACACAGATTTTTTGGCGTTCACTTGGTGCCCAATTTTTTTTTCTACGAGATTCTATTCTACTTGATATCCCGAGGTGCCATCCCCGTTGTGTTATATAAGAATATTCGAGAAAGTTTAAGGGAGATCACTCCCGGTTTATTTTATTTAGTTAAATGTTTGTTATAAAATTGGTAGTGGAGGGAAGGGGGAAGGAAGGGATGAGTCCGATCTGTGTGATGTTGTGAGCGATCAAAACAAAAAATCACAAAGACTCAGGGGTGGACTGTCCGCCGGTCTATCGAAAAAAACACACATTCTGTGGGTCTTAAAGAACGGTCATGTAATAGACCCATTAGTGTTTGTATTTGTAAAAATAAAAATGTTGAAAGTTTGAAACGATTGCCACTGCAAAATAATATTCCAACCAACATGCCCACATTCGAGTCATTCAAAAAACAACCGGATCGGATACACCCTAAGCACACGAGGCTCTTGGTAGACCTTGCCCTTAGATTTTGATAAGAAAAAAATACACAATGAAAATTCGAATCTCGGGTTTGGGCCCCCCTCTAAAAATTTCCCGGGCCCCTTAGACACAGCCAGTCCACCTCTGCGTGGCATTGTATGAAAACATTTAGAAAAACTATTTTAACATTGAGGGATGGCGCCATCGTTAGACCCTGTGTATTGTAATACACCGTTTAATCCTACCAGAAGAAACATTTTAACAATGACACGTTCTTTGTTTCAGCGATGGCGCTCAGGTTCGGCACCCAGCTCAACAAATCAGGTAGGTGGACAAGGCCGAGTTGCTAGCGTCTTAAGGATTGTGTGTTTAGTTAAGGGTTCAAGCTTTGATGAATTTGATTTTTTTTTGTGTTTATCATCGTCAGCTTTTCCCATTCTTGTTTAAGTCACATGGGGCAGATGAAGTAGAGTTCATCTGTTTCAGAGACCTCGGATTATGACGGGATAGCGTAGTCAACACTATGTCAGGGACGTTCTACTGACTTGAACCCGGATTCGAACTCGAGACTTTAGGGTTCGCAGCTATATACAAGATCAAATATATTGGGGAATATGTCTAGGATTTTTTTTTTTGTGTTCTCAATTTATTTTCCAAACTGATTCATGTGCCTCGCCAGCTGCCTGTTGCGTTTTGATCACACGACAGATGACCACTAGACAGATGACCACTAAACAAGCCACCGCGGCATTTGAAGACATTGAGCAGCCACAGATGCGTACATCGGTTCCAGGGCCGAAGACGAAGGAGCTTCAAGCTAGGCTTGGTCGTTACCAGGTTAGTGCTACTGCTAGGTTAGTGCTACTGCTAGGTTAGTGTCACTACCATCTTAATGCCACTACCAGCTTAGTGCCACTAGCATCTTAATGCTACTAACACCTTAGTGCCACTACCACCTTAGTGCCTCTACCATCTCGGTGCCACTACTATCTTAGTGCCACTACCATCTCGGTGCCACTACTATCTTAGTGCCACTACCATCTCAGTGCCACTACTATCTTAATGCCACTACTATCTTTATGCCACTACCATCTTGTGCCACTACCACCTTAGTGTCATACTTTAATACCACTACCATCTTAGTACCACTACCATCTTAGTACCACTACCACCTTAGTGCCACTACCATCTTAGTGCCACTACCATCTTAGTACCACTACTATCTTAGTGCCACTACCACCTTAGTGCCACTACCACCTTAGTGCCACTACCATCTTAGTGCCACTACCACCTTAGTGCCACTACCACCTTAGTGCCACTACCATCTTAGTGCCACTACCACCTTAGTGCCACTACCAACTTAGTGCCACTACCACCTTAGTACCACTACCACCTTAGTGCCACTACCATCTTAGTGCCTCTACCATCTCGGTGCCACTACTATCTTAGTGCCACTACCATCTCGGTGCCACTACTATCTTAGTGCCACTACCATCTCAGTGCCACTACTATCTTAGTGCCACTACCATCTTTATGCCACTACCATCTTGTGCCACTACCACCTTAGTGTCATACTTTAATACCACTACCATCTTAGTACCACTACCATCTTAGTACCACTACCACCTTAGTGCCACTACCATCTTAGTGCCACTACCACCTTAGTACCACCACCATCTTAGTGTCACTACCATCTTAGTGCCACTACCATCTTAGTACCACTACCATCTCGGTGCCACTACTATCTTAGTGCCACTACCATCTCAGTGCCACTACTATCTTAGTGTCATACTTCAATACCACTACCATCTTAGTACCACTACCATCTTAGTACCACTACCACCTTAGTGCCACTACCATCTTAGTGCCACTACCATCTTAGTACCACTACTATCTTAGTGCCACTACCACCTTAGTGCCACTACCACCTTAGTGCCACTACCACCTTAGTGCCACTACCATCTTAGTGCCACTACCACCTTAGTGCCACTACCACCTTAGTGCCACTACCATCTTAGTGCCACTACCACCTTAGTGCCACTACCACCTTAATGCCACTACCACCTTAGTGCTACTACCAGCTTGTGCCACTACCATGGCTAACACATATCTACCACCAGCCCTATCATACTTCCCCCACAGAATACCGACGCCATCCATTTTTTTGTCGACTACAACAAATCTCGCGGGAACTACATTGTTGATGTTGATGGCAACGTCATGTTGGATGTGTTCACCCAGATTGCCTCTCTACCGTTAGGTAATTAATTACTCTGCTAATGGATAAATCTTATTTTTACGTAGATTGGGGTTCGATGTTTAGGGAATTGTATTTTTGTATTTCTCTTTAACTCGATGACAAATAGCCAGCTGGAGTCACGTGATTTAGAATGTAAAACGTTCGCCATATTTCCCCCCAGGATACAATCACCCAGAACTGGCTTCAGCTATGACGGACCCCAAAAATTTGGTAAGTTCTGGCTGTAATGTTGGCTGCAGCTATGAGGGACCCCCAACATTCAGTACGTTCTGACTATAACTCATCTTGCCGCTTTCTTCTACATTTCGTTTTTTAATTTCACATAGATCTAGTTGGTATAAAAATGGAGTAAAATTTGAATTCAATGTTTCCTTATATTCCAGTCGACGTTTATAAATCGCCCGGCACTCGGGAGTTATCCCCCTTTAGATTTTGTTGATCAGCTCGAATCAAGTCTGTTGTCGGTAAGTTCTGAGCTTCAATGAAAACTCTCCTTACTGAATGCATAAAAAGTTTTTTTTTTAAACGTGGAACTTTTATGGTCAAGTACTGAACCAATTATGGATCTTGTCCAGGTGCACGGGCGAAAGTTAAAGTTAAGCCCCGCCACTTTTGACCTATTTTTGAAGTATAGACATTTGAATATTTAAATGCAAGCCGTAAAAACTTCTTATACGACCTTAGGGTTAGTGTTAAGGTTGGGGATCTGCTTGGGGTTTGGGTTGGGGTAAGGGTTGTGGTTAGGGTTAGGGTTGGGATTAGGGTTCAAGGTACCAAACTGCAGACCTTTTCGTGCAAATGATTAATGACATATCCCAATTCCATCCTCTTCAATAAAGTCTATAAGTTTCATATACATTTTTTTTTGTTGGTGTGGCCGGGATTAACTTTTTTGGCGGGGCTTATCTGGACAAGATCCCCAACTATTCTTCACAAGTTACCATTAACAGATACCATTAATTTTTTTTAACCTTTCACACATCTTACAAATGCGCATACTAGACTGTCATCAACTTTTCAAATCTCTTTGAATTACTCGTACACTTTTCAATACAATATGACAAAATTTCACTAGTTCCAACACGTAGCCAACTAGGCAGACGTAAGAATTGTACAATTTGTCGCTATCCAGGTGGCGCCACCAGGAATGTCACGCGTGCAGACGATGGGCTGTGGCACGTGCTCCATCGAGAGCGGGCAGAAGGCTGTCTTCATGGCATATCAGGTGAGGGTTAAGGTCAAGGTCGACTGCGTTGATGATGTCACCAGAGTGGACACAGCCCAAGGCATAAAGCATGTGTAGAGTCTATGCTATAATTGTTGGAATGGCCCACGTGATAGTTTATTGATTCTCGTAAAAATTGATCGAATATATTAGCTATCCAACATGGCGGACGTTTCTGACGTGTCTCTTGTTTTGTTCTAGCGGAAGTTGCGAGGTGGGCGTCAACCGACAGACGAGGAGAAGCAGTCCAGTCTGATGAACCAACTTCCGGGAAGTCCTAAAGTTTCCTTTCTGTCTTTCAAGAACAGTTTCCATGGTCGTTGTATGGGTCAGTATTCGTGGACGTTGTATGGGTCAGTATTCGTGGTCGTTGTATGGGTCAGTATTCGTGTTCGTTGTATGGGTCAGTATTCCAGGTCGTTGTATGGGTCATTCTGAATGGTCATAGTATGGGTCAGTATTCGCGTTCGCTGTATGGGTCATTATGCAAGTTCGTTGTATGGGTCATTATGCATGTTCGTTATATGGGTCAGTGGAGATATGGCTTGCTTTAACATCTGTATTAGATAATATCTAAGCCAGGTATTTGGTTTAACCCTCTAACAGTACTATTATCTGGCAAGTGACAGAGTCACTTTTGAGATACACACATTTCTGTAATGCCAGTTTGGCTTCTGCTACCTCAAATTTCATTGGAGATTCATATTCTTATTATTCATCACTACTAGAGATTCATAATTATTTTCAACGTTTTCTCATCTACTCTACTATATCTTTTGGCCAGGTGCCCTGGCGATGAGTCACGCCAAATGGTTTCACAAGTTAGACTTCCCTGTACCAGATTGGCCTATTGCTACATTTCCTCGACTCCGATATCCTCTGGAAGAATTTACACGGGAAAACCTGGCGGAAGAGAACAGATGTTTGTACGAGGTTTGTGTTCAAAGAGAATTAACAGAGGCAATGTCAGAGACACCAGAAACTCACTGGTGTTGGTAAACATCTCTTTGGTGGAGGCTAGCACGGTGGCCCTCGGGGAGGGTAGCACGGTGGCCCTCGGGGAGGGTAGCACGGTGGCCCCAGGAGAGTAGAGCAGTGGGCCCAGAGGAGAAAAGTACGGTTGCCCCATGGGAGAGAAGTACGGTGGCCCCATGGGAGAGTAGCACGGTGGCCCCAGGGTAGATAAGTACAGTGGCCCAATGAGAGGGTAGCACGGTGGCCCTAGGGGAGGCTGGCACGGTGGCCCTATGGGAGAGTAGCACGGTGGTCACATGGGAGGGTAGCACGGTGGCCCCAGTGGCCCCATAGTACGGTATCCCTAGGGAAGAATACCAAGGTCGACTCGGATGATACAACTATCATAGATTTCGTACTAGATTCCCAAAAAAAAAGTACATAGTGTATGTGATTTAACTTTTGTCCAGGTTTGTGATCTGATTGAAAAATTCAAAGCCCGCGGGGAGCCCGTGGTGGGGATTTGTGTGGAGCCAGTCCAGTCTGAGGGTGGGGACCATCACGCCAGTGCCGCGTTCTTTCAAGGCTTACAGGACATCTGTCAAAAGGTGAGTCTGTTGTCAACAGGTGAGTTTGTTTACATCTGTCAACAGGTGAGTTTGTTTACATCTGTCAAAAGGTGAGTTTGTTTACATCTGTCAAAAGGTGGGTTTGTTGTCAACAGGTGAGTTTGTTTACATCTGTCAACAGGTGAGTTTGTTTACATCTGTCAACAGGTGAGTTTGTTTACATCTGTCAAAAGGTGGGTTTGTTGTCAACAGGTGAGTTTGTTTACATCTGTCAACAGGTGAGTTTGTTTACATCTGTCAACAGGTGAGTTTGTTTACATCTGTCAACAGGTGAGTTTGTTTACATCTGTCAAAAGGTGGGTTTGTTGTCAACAGGTGAGTTTGTTTACATCTGTCAAAAGGTGGGTCTGTTGTCAACAGGTGAGTTTGTCAACAGGTGAGTTTGTTGTCAACAGGTGAGTTTGTTTACATCTGTCAACAGGTGAGTTTGTTTACATCTGTCAACAGGTGAGTTTGTTTACATCTGTCAAAAGGTGGGTTTGTTGTCAACAGGTGAGTCTGTTGTCTGACATCTGTCAATAGGTATGTTTTTTTTTTAAAGTACGTTTAGTTGGCGTCCACGCAATGATTTTAAAAAATATTGTTTGTGGCTAATTCATCATCATCATTATTCTTAAGCTCCTTGCAGAACATAGGGCCTCTGATAAAATTTTTCATGGTCTCCTGTCTTTATTTTTTTTTTTTAAAGTCTAGTTCTGTCCAATCCTTCTAGCTCCCCTCCCCAACATAGTTGCTGTTTGTTTGGGTCGTCGATTAATATATTTAAGTTCCCTGAATCAATTAATTAATTTTTGAACTCTAAATTTAATTCCCGAACCAGTTATAGCTGTTGGGGTATCATGTATTGCACATCTTTCATTCTAGTATGGCGCCTACCTGATGATAGACGAGGTACAGACCGGATGTGGCGCCAGCGGAAGATTCTGGGCCCACGATCATTTCAACCTGAGGAAATCACCAGACGTCGTCACGTTCTCTAAGAAGATGCTGTCGGGCGGCTTCTATTTCACGGAGGAGCTTGTGCCCACTGAGGTCCGTGTGTTATCTGTGCTATGGTATACTCATATCAACGGTTTTATGAAAAATATGTTGTCATGGGTTCCAGAAAAAATACGCAACGGAAAACTGCGCAAACACAAACATCCGCAAATGCAAACAAATTATACTAATACACTTTAATTGTATCATATTTCGAGGAACAGCCTTTTGTTATGCTAAGCAATGTACATGTAGTCACTACTTGTTAATGTCTAAAAATGCTCGATTTTAGAAAACAAAAATGCCCTTGCGCACTTTTTGTGCAAAGTTTTCCTTTGCGCATTGTTCCGTTGCGTGTTTAATTTAATTTTGTCAGTCACGACAGGATGACTTGGATTAACAGCGGTTATTAATTTAATGCAAATTTTTGAAAGGCTCGCGTACTTTTACAACTAATATTAAGATATGCTTCTTTAAGTAGCTAAATTTTGGTTGTGTTGATCTGGTATATTTTATTGTGTTGGCATAGTGTTTTCATTGAAAAAAGGGGGTGAGGCAAATACATGAAACTGCACATTTAGCGTAGGTTTACCGTTAAACATGTAGGTCTACATCTAGATTTATTATTTATTGGTTTCCTTTTAACAAGTATCACTTAGGTAGAGAATATTTGTTTACAGCCCATTTATTTCAAGTTTTGATACAATTTCAACATTGTCCGTATCTGTGCATGATTTTCCCATTCCTAGGCTTACAGAATCTATAACACTTGGCTGGGAGATAACTCTAAGCTAATCCTTCTTGAAAAAGTCATCGGGGAAATCAAACGAGACAATCTGGTAGCGAATGCTGCTAAAGTTGGACAAACACTTTTAGCTGGATTAAAAGAAATGCAGGTGAGTGCCCAGATTTTTTGCCCATTTTGCCCAAGCAGGCTACCACAGTGTTTCTTCCAGACTTTTTTCTCCGATGGTGTTTTTTTTGTGGTGGTGGGGGACGGACGCGAAAATTTATTTCGCTCGGGGGGGGGGGGGGGGGGGGGGGGCGGACACTGTTAAAAGCATATATAAGCGTATATAAATTTTATTTTGTTGGGGGGGGGGGGCTTGTAAATAACGCCACAAACATTAGGCTAAACATTTGACTTTGGATATCTCTTCAAACAACACTTGCTGAAATCATTTATCCTTAAAATACATTGAGTTCAACTGAGTAGGTGACGTCATCGTGGTTCCTTTTATAGCGGGTAGATCATTTTTTGAAATACAATATTATGGGGGTTGGGAAGCAGGGGCGTAGCGAGGTCGGGTGTCGCCCGGTGCGGCACTTAATGGTGTCAAACCCCCCCCCCCCCCCAGAGGCGTAGCGACCCTTCCCGGGGACAAACTTTCAAATTTTCGATTTACACCCCCCCCCCTCAAGTTTTTCTCTATATATTTTGCTATAATTTTGCCTTGGTGTCAGCCCCCTAAATGGTGTCACCCGGTGCGGTCCGCACCCCCCGCCCCTGATGGGGAGTAAAATTTGGCTTAAATCTCAACGTCAGTTATGATCCGTAAATTAACTTCTGCCTCCCTTAGTTAAGAAAATACTTTACCTTCTGTGAGTTAACCTTTTTTTAAAAAACCTCAATGAGTTAACCTCTGCCTTCTCCCACCAAGCAACTCTACCCGGCTCTACTGACCAACGCTCGTGGCCTGGGCACGCTCTGTGCGGTAGACGTCGCCACAGTCGAGTCACGTGACAAAATTATCCACACGTTGAGAAACAAAGGTGGGTCTAAGTCCAAGTGTGGAATGGATTTAATTAATCTTGTCTTAATAGGACCAGCTGAGTTTACGTGCAGCTTAAGTTATGCTATTTATAAACGGAGATTGTGTTTTTTAAAAGGGGAGGTGTTTTTATATGCGTTTTGTAAAGTTAATTTAGTGCTAATGTCTGCTGACTGTTACGTTTCTCTGGTAAGAATTTTGTTTATTTTAATTGATAAATATTGTGGTATCAGGATTTTTTAAGAAATGTTTTGAAAAGGTCCAGGTGTCAATGTAATTCAAGTCAGCCATTTTGTTTTATAACAGGTGTGAACATTGGAGGCTGTGGGACGTCCAGTCTACGCTTGAGACCAAGTTTGATTTTCAAAGAGAAACATGCCAGCATTTTCTTGGACAAACTGGCATCAGTCCTGTCTGAGATGGCCGTGTGACACTAAGGCGTGGCATATGACAGTGACATGACCAACATTGTCAGGGCTGTTACACGATCGTTACATGGCAGTGTGACTTTGTAGTGACTGTGACACATCACAACTGTGTTACAGCTGTATTACACACAGCAATGTGACTCTGCAACGACTGTGTAACAACACATGTCATGATTGTGATATATTCAGCTCCGGCCTGTTGTGACATCATGTCATGGCATGCACCTAAACGTAAACCACCAAGCTCCACACCAACACACAACACAGACGACCAAAATCAAGACAGCAGCATCAATAATTTAATTAACCAGAAAACTATCAAATATACAATATGTAAACATGTCACACATGAAACAAATCCACAAGTAAAACATGTTTTTTCTTCCAATCTTTGATCATTACCAGTGGGCTGGAATGGTATGGCAGTGACTACAACAAACGATGGAAATGAAATGACATAAACTGACAAATGACATTGACATGTAAAAGCAGTAAACCTATTCGCCTTTGTTCCTATGAGGACTGGAAAATATAGAAGACAGGTTGCCGAGGGTAACCAGAAAAACTGACGCCGCCAGGAAGGTGGGCAGGCGGTATAAAGATTCCATCCCATACAGGAGAGTCACTGTGGCCAGGACGAAGTACAACCAGCCAATCATAATGTTCTGGGACCTGGAGACAAAATAGCTACCACAGTTACAAGACTTCAGATTCAGCTAAAAAAAAGGACAGGTATTTGTTACTGTTTCAAGTGCACCCAGTTGCATGAAAAAATGGCTATTAATAATAGGAAGGTTAAGTAAAGCTGGCCATCTAGTTGTTGCTGTCCCTTACCCAAAAGCTGTTGGGTGAGTTTTATGACGCTGTGTAGCTGGGACAAATAAACTATCACAAATTCAACTCACGCACCACTAAAACAGGGTGGAATGTAAGGAATCCATTAATTAATAAAGTTCATGATTTGACCCCAATTGAATCAATACTCCCCTGTAGAACACTGTCCCTTACATTAAAAGATACCAAATTTAAAAAATAAATTGTGTTCCTTGACTTACCCAGTGAGAGAAAAATTTGAAGACAACAAAATGACAGTCAGACAGACGCAGACCACCAAAGCAGGGAGCTGGGATGGGTCAGGGCTAAGTTGGGGCGGGATTAATTGGCTGCTGAAAACAGAGAAGGCATTATCAAATAAATTAGATACCAAATTATACCAACTATATTTGGATACAACATTACAAAAAAAAAATAACTGCATTTAACTTTATAAAAAGAGGAACTGAATACAACTTCACAAAAACTAAAGGGATAAAATACTTCAAAGATAATTTCAACATTGTAAACACTAATAGGATATATTTGAAATTCTCCAATGGGATACATTTGAAACACTACAATATAATACATTAAAAATATGTTACAAAGTGGTAGAGATTGAAATGCAACAATGGAATACATTTGAAATGCTCCATATAGATAATAAGATGCAACATTTGAAACACTACAATATGATACATCATTTGTAAAGCTACATATAAATGCGACAGATGAAACTCTTCAAACATACACCAGCAGCTCTGGCCCAACCTACCTGATGCAGCGTTTGAGCCAGACAATGAAAGAGCCCAGGTTGAGCAGGGTCTGCAGGTTGACCAGCAACATCAGGTGGAAGAACATGAGCAGCTTCTGGTGTGTGTCTTGTGTGTCCATCTTGCTGGCCACAGTGTACAACAGCTGTAAGACCTGGGGGAAACATTTTATACAGTCACAGGCAAGTTAAAAACACAGTGTTGTAGGAACAAAACAAATCATGTTTAGATCTAACTGGGGAAACATTTTATACAGTCACAGGCAAGTTAAAAACATAGAGTAGTAGGAACAAAACAAATCATATTTAGATCTAACTGGGGAAACATTTTATACAGTCACAGGCAAGTTAAAAACATAGAGTAGTAGGAACAAAACAAATCATGTTGAGATCTAACTATGGAAACATTTTATACAGTCACAGGCAAGTTAAAAACACAGAGTTGTAGGAACAAAACAAATCATGTTGAGATCTAACTATGGAAACATTTTATACAGTCACAGGCAAGTTAAAAACACAGAGTTGTGGGAACAAAACAAATCATGTTGAGATCTAACTGGGGGAACATTTTATACAGTCACAGGCAAGTTAAAAACACAGAGTTGTGGGAACAAAACAAATCATGTTTAGATCTGACTGGGGGAACATTTTATACAATCACAGGCAAGTTAAAAACACAGAGTAGTAGGAACAAAACAAATCATGTTTAGATCTAACGGGGGAAACAAGATCAAGTATTTCATAAGTGTGTGGTGATATCTAGAGATGTAACTTCAAAGCTCCAAAGTTTTAACACTAAACTTAACTTAAGATCAAACACTTTTGGTTAACTAAAGATTAAACACTAAACTTAGCAAAAGACTTAACTAAAGGTTAAACAATAAACTTAATCATAGATTTAAATTAACACTAAACTTAACCAAACGTTTAACATTAAACTTAACCAAACATTTTAGCACTAAACCAATGATATAAAACAAAATGTAACCAATGATTTGAAAATAAAGCTAATCAAACACCTACCCTGAGAGTGAGTAAAGCTGAGAAAATAAAAAGACCCAAAGTTCCGCACCAGAAAGTGGACAAGATGGCCGCTACACTGACCAGCAGCTGTAGGTAACTGGCTTGTCTTGAGACAAATCCTGGAACTCTGGAACACACAAATTAATTAGGGTAAGTCCTGTGGTGAGTCCTATCTTTAGTTCTATCTTCAAGATTTAGAGGTGAAGCATTGAACAATTTTACTTATACAAAAACTGCATTAACATTTGTAATCAACTTTTTCCTTTGAAAATTTAACATGAAAAGGAAGACCAGTTTTATTTATGCGCACAACATCTGGCTAAGTAATGTTAAATATAGTAGGGCTAAAGGTTAAGTTACAGTTTGAAGCAGGTAGCTAAAGGTTAAGTAATTACCTGAATCAGTAGGCTAAAGTTAACTGACTATCTTAACCGGCTAACCCTACTTACATGGCACAGCACCTGGCTAAGTAACCTAACACACGCAGCAGCTGGTACACCAGCGCTGTCTGTATGTACGAGGCCAGGTATGCAGTGACGTACAAGAGAGCAGGCAGGAGAGAGAAGTAGACCCCATCTTGACTGAGTGAGACGCTGTCATCTTCAACCGCCAGCAGTTTCCCCACCAACTTTTTAATGATACCAACACTGGGAAACAGAAAAGGGGAAATAAAAATTTGATTGTGCTATACTACAGTCAAACTTTTTATACTGCTAAAAACAATGTCAGAGAAAAGTTGGATTGTGCTATACTACAGTTTTACATTTTATACTGCTAAAAAATTTCAAATTCATGTCAGGAAGGTTCCATACCTGAGTAAATATCTAATTACAATAACTGTAGGTACAATGTAATAAGGTCTGCTGTATATGAACAGCCAATCTGATGGACTAGTTGTTTTTATGTTGATAACTGAAACATTTGAAAAGAACTTTTGTTAGAAAAACAATTTAACTAATGAATTTAGGTTTAAAATAAAATGAATCTACAAGTAAAAAAGCCCACAAACATCCCTATCATGTATCAACCTGCCCTAAGGCTACATTTCCCATCACTAGGCCAGTTTACTAACTACTAAATTTTAATCACTTGCTTTCTATTATGACATTGCAACTACATCACATGATTCTACTTCTATTACCACCACCACACCATGTACTAAACTGTCACATTAACTCTACCACACCATGTACTAAACACAACCACCACCACACCATGTACTAAACACAACCACCACCACACCATGTACTAAACACAACCACCACCACATCATGTACTAAACACAACCACATTACCACCACCACCACACCATGTACTAAACACAACCACCACCACACCATGTACTAAACACAACCACCACCACACCATGTACTAAACACAACCACCACCACACCATGTACTAAACACAACCACCACCACATCATGTACTAAACACAACCACATTACCACCACCACCACACCATGTACTAAACACAACCACCACCACACCATGTACTAAACACAACCACCACCACATCATGTACTAAACACAACCACATTACCACCACCACCACACCATGTACTAAACACAACCACCACCACATCATGTACTAAACACAACCACATTATCACCACCACACCATGTACTAAACACAACCACATTATCACCACCACACCATTACTACCTATGCTAATGAAACCTTATATTTTTTAACCGCCAACCACACACACAATCCATAAAATATTTCTTAAGTTTCTAAGCTGTAAATAGACTCTTCCAACCTTGACCTTTTCCTTGTGTTATGAGTACACCCTTGAAAGACATGAAGAGGACAGCCACAAAGTAGGCAGGCAAGAGAACAGCATAGAAGCGAACAGCCTGTTGACAGTTTGTATGCACAAATACATACTAATTAGTTTCTTAAAATACTTAAAATATTTTTAAATAAAATACTTAAAAAAAACTTTTTAAAAAACCACGTTTTTCTTGTGGACTAAAAAGTAGAAAATAACTATTTACATACATTTGATGACAAAAAACGTGGGTACGTTCACCATCAAATTTCTCGACCCACGTTTTTTGTCATCAAATGTATGTAAATAGTTATTTTCTACTTTTTAGTCCACAAGAAAAACGTGGTTTTTTAAAAAGTTTTTTTTAAGTATTTTATTTTCTCCTTTTTAGTCCGTTGCTACACATGAAAAACGTGGTTTTTAAAAAAAGTTTTTTATATAGTTTATTTTCTACTTTATCCAATGACTTGATTAAGTATGACTTGACTAAGTGTTTATAAATACACGGACTAAAAATCTTGAGCGACCAGGATTCGAACCTGGGTTGTCGCGGCCACAACGCGAAGTACTAACCACTATACGATCACGGCCAGCGCGCTCACATCGATTGGGGCCGAAGTAACTGTGTCAATAGGCCTTCAGTCTTGTCGGTATCTTTAGAAATCATGTCCTCAATTTTATGGTCCTTAGGGCGTAATTAAATTAAGCTAATTACGGTCTCTAATTGCTAGTTTTTATGATTGCATCTGAAATTGTTAGGCGAAAGTAGCCTGCATGCCAAATTTCAGATCTATAGAGCAATCAGAAGTGGGCTAATTTTCGATGTCAATTTTGACAACAAACAAACACACGCGAAGCTGAGTTAATAAAAACGTGTTAAAATGTAATGTTAATAAAAAAAGATTTTTTAGCAGCATTTTTAGAAAGTTTGTCATTTTTTCCTATTAAAACACTTACAATAATGTATATGTCAAATGCTGGACCAAAAATGGTCAAGCCCAACAAAAAAACACTAAAGCTATTGTTTAAGTCACTATAGATGGTCTGGAACACAGCTATTAACACTAGAAACTTGACCAAAAGCTGACCTGGCCTAAAACTTCTGGGGTTGAGATGACCAACCGGAGCTTGTAGTGGCAATATGGGTGCAGGAACATCTCCAGGTGCGGCTCAGAGCTGTCCAGCCTCCAGTCGTAGCCAGCTGGACGTGCTGTCTGTACACGGATGGACAAGCTGGCTTCTTTACCATAGCTGGGGACATTTGCATCATCTTTTGTTTACAGTGGTGTGTTAAGACAAGTTTAAGGTTTTTTACCACAGCTATCTTACACGGATGGACAAGCTGGCTTCTTTACCATAGCTGGGGACATTTGCATCATCTTTTGTTTACAGTGGTGTGTTAAGACAAGTTTTAGGTTTTTTACCACAGCTATCTTACACGGATGGACAAGCTGGCTTCTTTACCATAGCTGGGGACATTTACATCATCTTTTGTTGACAGTGGTGTGTTACAGATATGTTTTAGGTTTTTTTACCAGTTACCCCAAGGCTGGGGACATTTACATCATCTCTTGTTTACAGTGGTGTGATACAGACAAGTTTTACCTTTTACAACATAAATGGGAAAATTTACAACCTTTTGTTTTCAGAGAACTGCTAGTACTTCCTCATACAGTTTTTACACATGCGACATGTATACTATACACGTTTAGAAAAAAAACTGCACCATAAGTTAATTTTATCAGAACTTGTATAGAGGGACCTACTTACTTATTGCGAAGTTTTTTCTATACTTGTATAGTATACATGTCGCAGGTGTAAACACGGTGTCAGACACATACAGATAACTAATTTTAAGTTACTACCACAGATACTGTGTAGTGACATCATGAACAAGGCACCCTACCTGGCAAACGAATAAACTTCCTCATGACTCCAGGGGATGTTCAGTCTTAAGACACTGCCCTCGTACGGTTCTGAAAGTCATATCACTCTGTTAATCTACAAGTTTCAATTTTTACTTATCAGAAAACATTGTCTTTAAATTTAATTCAATTTTTATTTTTGAAATGTAGGGGTGGGGGGGGGGGGGGGGGCGCCTGTATTCACATATGTATAGAGATACTTTTAAGATGACATTGTTTAAAGTAGCTTTTTTAGCATTATTGTAATATGACAATATTACTGTAAAAGAGTTTGAAATCTTATTTTGTTTAGTCATCCTTAATTTTGCTACAGCTACAAAATTTTCAAAGCGTCTAAACTTGCATTAGCTGATTTAGAATAACATGTAATGTGGTACGTCTATACACATATTCCCTCTGATCTTTCATACATGTTCCAGTTACCTGCGCTGTGCTTGCGACACTTGTGAGGTGTCACATACACCTTGTAGGCGTTGGTAGGGAGGGACAGGCCAGCGAGGTGGAGGCTGTAGAAGGTGGAGGCGTTGTTCATCCTTAACAGGGCAGCGCCATCTGTGGCTGAGATGGGGTAGGAGATGATGGTGTCGTATGTGTTGGGCATCTGGTACACCAGGTGGCGCTCATTGCTGTCATACTGGTCAACCAAAATATTCACCTGTGCATGTTCAAAAACAGATATCAACATATAGATGTGAAGTGAAAAAAAAAGTACAATATAATTTTGTAGATCATAATAATCTCTTATTTTTTTAGGCCATTACCATTTTCTCCCCTGCATTGGCCAAGATTAAAATATAAGAACTGTTGGTACTCTCAATGTCCTTGTGCATGACTCGAACATACTGAAAGAAGAAAAAGGTTAAGTAGTTCAGCTCTTCAAAATAATACTGTTAGAAAGGATGCTTGATTTTATCATTTCTATAAAAAAAAATCTCTAAATTACATTTTAAAATGGTAATTTTTTGGAGTTCATAAAGTTAGATGAAAAGAAATGTTTGTGTTTTATTGTTAGGCCAATGTTGTTTTCTTTATTTAATTTTAATTTCATGTTCCCCTACTCTCCAGTGCATGTTTATAAAAAAATGTGTTGTCTACTATGACAAACTGACCTTAGAATTAGCATAGTTTGGCGGCAGAAATCTTGTGGCGGTTGATAAATTGGTACAGGACGTGCTGAAGAAATGTGTATCACACGTTTATTTTAAGTCTACTTTAAATTTTATAGAATGTCAATTTTTAACTGATAAACTAGACTCCTTAGATAAAGTAGGGTGTCACTCACCATTTTTCCTGTCCTTGTGGGATGTTACAGTAACAAACCCAGTGCGAGCTAGTCTGTTGAGAGATAGTAGCATATGTCAAATACAGGCACACATTTCTCTTGCTCTCTTGTATAAACAATAACTTGCAGAACAAATCATATTTAACAACCCAGGTGTTTATGTGATCATGCATAATTTACCTTTTTCACCTTCATTTTTACTTTCTCGTATACAGACTATAGAGAAAGTATTGTAACAAAAACCATAGGTCCTTCATCACATCCGGGATATAGAGGACTTATTTTAATCGGGGAAAAATTATAAATCCAGATTTATCAAAATTTTGGCGTTTTATGCGTAAAGGAGTTGGGAAAACTGGATTATCCAATTCTGTTTGTGTGTGTGTGTATAAACATGATAACTTGAGTACCGTTACAGCTAGGTTGATGAAATTTCATTTATAAGTATTGTATCAAATCTGTAGATCTGTATCAATTTTTCAGCGATTTCCGATAACCAGAAGTGGAACTTATTCTACTTTCAATTTTTCAAAAGCCTATAACTTGAGGAATATTTCAGATAGATAAATGAAATTGCACATGTAAGTAAAAAATCTAATTCACTGCTTTCTGTCAAATTTTGAGAAACTTCCATTGACCAGAAGTGGTAATTTACGCAATTTCCGATTTCTCAAGAAATGCATGTGAATTTATAAAGTACTAATAATATTCCGCACTATTATACACATTTTGTTTGGCATTCACTTGGTGCGCAATTCTTTTATCTACGAGATTCTATTCTATTATAAAAAGTTTAAATAATTAAAAATGGATTAAAATATTGTCTCTATCCCGAGTTGCCATCCCCTATAGTGTTATATAAGAATATTCGAGAAAGTTTAGGGGAGATCACTCCCAATTTATTTATTACTCAATCAACCTATCAGCTATTTGTGCAACACCAGCAAATGAATCCTCAATCTCAGCATTTGGTTAACTTTTATTGTAAACTATTACACATGTTCAATGTTTTGTAAGTTGTAACTACAAAATAGTGCCAACTTACCAAATTACTCATGACAAGAATGGAATCTTTTCCTTCCTCCAAGACAAATGGAATAGCAAAGTAGGTTGTTGTAGTCATCTAGAGTTGAATATATACCAGATGCAAGAATTAAACTTCTAGAACCAACAACAAACTACACTCTATATCTATTGAATTTTGCTGTCTAAATCAGGGGTCTCCAAACTACGGCCTGCGGGCCGGATGCGGCCCGCGAGGTCCTCTTATCCGGCCTGCGGAGATCTTTTTGTCCACGGAAAAAGTGTTTGTTGGTGATGGCTGAGGAACTTTGCCCAGAAAAATCAAAGACATGCCTGGAAAAAACTGACCCCCGAACTGAAATTTGATACTTAATGACTGAAAAGTTTGGAGACCCCTGGTCTAAATTATGAGAAGAGTGGCATTGCAAATTTTGTGAAGGTATTATCAGTAGATTATACGACAGTGAAAAAAGTAGCATGCTCATGGAAATTTATCAATGATATAAATAGAAGGTGCCGTAGAGTGCTGATGTAGGCAAACAAAAATAAATTTACCCTACTAGCAGAATATTTCCACAACCTTTCATCTTTGACCTCCCACTTGACCTTGGGGTCAAGAATGATGTTATCATTAGGTGTCAGGTAGTCAGTGAGACCATTATTGTCCAGGAAGTGATGTTTGAAGACTTTCATCCTGAGATCCGCATCATGGGATATCTGTTCACATAATTGTCTAAGTTCATTACATCAAGTATTTTTACCTACATGTGAAGTATTACTGATTTTGTTTATTATAAAAAAAAATTTACCTGCAAAGTTCTCTTGTCTACAAGATCAAACATGGCTCGTTTAGTTAACAAAACAACTTGACGACACCTGAAAGATCAAACATGGCTTGTTTAGTTAACAAAACAACTTGACGACACCTGAAAGATCAAACATGGCTCGTTTAGTTAACAAAACAACTTGACGACACCTGAAAGATCAAACATGGCTCGTTTAGTTAACAAAACACCTAGACGGTATCTAAAAGATCAAATATAAAGAGCAAAAAAACACTAGAAAAGACTGATTACAAACCAAACAGCACATAGGTGATCAGTAGAGACCCAAGCCTTTGGAACTGCATTTGTCTGGAGAAAAAAATTAATCCTGTTTCAATAATAAAGTCTAGACACACTAAATTGGTTGAACAGTTTGACTAATGTAATGATAGATGAAAATAGCAAAAAAAAAAGTCAAGATAATATAATATAATTGACTGGGAAACAATCTATATACTACTAAAAGTCAAGTTTGTTTACATGTTTGAATATTTATTTGTTTTTTTGTTTGTTTGTTTGTTTGCCTGATCAAGTATCCTGATATGTTCGGCTCTATCTGGAAAGCTGTAAAATAGTATGTAGGTAGAGAATAATTTTTTAATGCAGACAGACTGTTAATCACAAATTTATTTAAAGACGTTAATTAATTTATTGATTTATTCATTGTTAAATTAACCGTATTTTTTAAAAAATGTTAATACTTTGAATAAACTTTGTGGGGATAGTGACGTCCCTTGATAGTGACGTCAGAGCTTTTTGTTGACTCTTTAGTACAATAAAATGGCGGCGCGTCTATCGAAGAAAATTGTGTTCCCATTCCAAAGTTTAACGCGTTCTAAATCTAATTTTCTGTCGGTCATAACTTTAACAATACGTCCGTTTGCTGTATTTATTACGTTCCAACACTTATATCAATTTTCAACTGTCTTTTTTCATTTAGTTTTACAATAAATTTCTCTAGATCTATATCTAAAGATCACCTGTCGAAGGAAATTTATGAATCTAGCCTAGATCTAGATCACTAAACTCAATGTAAATTCTAAATCTAGACTTAATGTAAATTCTACATCTAGAATCTATTTCAGGCCTTAATACATCTAGAATCTATTTCAGGCCTTAATTATTTTATATAAATCTTTGTTTGGCTAATTTAAGATAAAATTTAATTTGAAAGTTACTACTTCTAGACTAGATGCTCGAAATCAAGTTGCATCAAAGTATAGTATAAAAATTCATTTGTGACGTCAGGAGTAAATAGCTAAGTTTGTAGCGTAGTCCGCTCTCATGCGAGTGGTACAGGTTCTAGACCAATATGTCAATGATATTTTTTTTTAATTTTTTTTTTTTTTAGATGTTAATGATAAAAAATGATTTTTTTTTTTCAATTTTTTTTTTTTTAGATGTTAATGATAAAGTTGCCTATCTGAACTTGGCAGGATACAGGGCAGGTGAAGTAGAGTTCATCTGTTTCTTTGTCCTAACCATATGAAAGGATAGTGTGGTCAGAGACATGCTCGGCTGGAATCGTTTTTTAAACGATAAAAACATGTTGTCTGAGACTTGGCGGGACACTGGGCAGGTGAAGTAGAGTTGAGTAGGTCACATGTGACGTCAGTATATGAAGGGATAGTCCGAAATCGGTGTTTTCGGTGTTTTTAAAAGATAAGAAACATATTTTTGAATGTGGGCTCTGTTTTTGTGACGATAAGTGACACTGCAGTAGCGTAGCGAGGAGGGGGGGGGGGGCGGGTGGGGAGGCGGGGGGGGGGGGGGGGGGGAAGGGGAGGCGGGGGGGGGGGGGGGAAGGGGAGGCGGGGGGGGGGTGGGAGGGGAGGCGGAGGGAGTGAAGGCGGGGGGACGTATGTTGGGGCGCCAAAATGGTTTGGAAAAATAAATTGAAAGGTTGAGGGGGGTTCAAATCGAAAGTTTGAGTGGGGGGGGGGAGGGGGTGCACATCAAAAGTTTGAGGGGGGGGGGGGGTTGAAAATCGAAATCTTGGGGGGGGGGGGGTTAAAATCGAAAAGTTTGTCCCCGGGCGCCGGGAAGGCTCGCTATGCCTCTGAGTGACAGACGTGATGTTTTTTGATGGATGACCCCCGAAACCCACAGTTATCCAAGGGATGACGGGTATTCTAGTTACTAATAAAATATCTCTATGACTGAAAAAGATAGTTTTTCAAAAATAGTTAGATAATCAGCTTACCAGAACACTCAATGATCTATTAGGTGAAACAATCTGTTAAAACAAAAACAAGAGTAAGTCTTAAAAAATAGTTTTTTCTCTATAACATTTAAGGGGTGGTTTAAAATTTATCAAACAGTGTGAAATGTTTTAACCAACAGAACCACATATATTCAGCAGGCAATGTTTGCTGTTCAAACTATTGACGACAGTAGATGGCTTTTGGTTATAAATAAGAATAGGTATACATATATATATGAGGGGGGATGGTGTGGTCAAGTGGTAGTGTTAGACTGCTAACCCGAAAATTTTGAGTTTGGATCCAGGGCTCAAATATAATATATAGGACGTCCCTGAGTCCACCCCGCTCTGATGGGTACCTGACTTAAGTTAGGGGAAACAAAGGCGCCTGGGCATAGTGCTGACCACACTATCCCCTTGTAATGTATGCCAAGGTCATTGAAACAGATGAACTCTACTTCATCTGCCCCATGTGACTTGCACACTAACAGGAATAGATGATGATATACATGTGAATGTATCTGAAAGGTATGATAGGAGCCTGCAGATAGTAGTTACACAAGAAAGAGATTATCAGTGTACCCAATGAATTTAACTTACACCATCCAGCCTGCAGATAGATCTAGTAGTTACACAATAAAGAGATTATCAGTGTACCCCATGAATTTAAATTACACCATCCAGCCTGCAGATAGATCTAGTAGTTACACAAGAAAGAGCTTATCAGTGTACCCAATGAATAAAGAGATTATCAGTGTACCCAATGTATAAAGAGCGTATCAGTGTACCCAATGTATAAAGAGCGTATCAGTGTACCCAATGAATAAAGAGCTTATGAGTTTACCCAATGAATAAAAAGATTATCAGTGTACCCAATGTATAAAGAGCGTATCAGTGTACCCAATGTATAAAGAGCGTATCAGTGTACCCAATGAATAAAGAGCTTATGAGTGTACCCAATGAATAAAGAGATTATCAGTGTACCCAATGAATAAAGAGCTTATGAGTGTACCCAATGAATAAAGAGATTATCAGTGTACCCAATGAATAAAGAGCTTATGAGTGTACCCAATGAATAAAGAGATTATCAGTGTACCCAATGAATAAAGAGCTTATGAGTGTACCCAATGAATAAAGAGATTATCAGTGTACCCAATGAATAAAGAGCTTATGAGTGTACCCAATGAATAAAGAGATTATCAGTGTACCCAATGAATAAAGAGCTTATGAGTGTACCCAATGAATAAAGAGATTATCAGTGTACCCAATGTATAAAGAGCTTGTGAGTGTCCCAATGAATTTAACTTACACCATCCAACCTAGTGAGATCATAGCGGACCTGGATGTCCCTGTAGCCCCCACCTGTACTGACCACTGTAACATGTTGCAGGCTTGAAGAGTGCTGCCTCCAGTGCTGGTTCACTTCTTTGTAAAACTGCTGCAGTTGGGGATCAAGGGAAGCAACTAAAACAACACATTTTGTTGATTAAAATATTCTGTAAATTTTTTTTTACCCAAGCAGAAACAAATTCTACTAAAATTAGAATTTTATTGAAACAGTTTAACAAGTTTGTTACATGACATATATTATTTATATAGCATTTGTTTACATCTGTTGACTGTATATTTCATATTAAAATGAGGAGATGTAATTTTGATAACTGTCAACCATTTTTTAATGTAAACCAAGTAAGATTTAGTAAGTAAAGTTCCCTTTCAAACCTGACGGTCTATAGGGCAAGTGAAGTAGAGTTCACTTGTTTCTGTGACCTCGGCATTTGAAGAGATAGTGTGGTCAGCACTATGCACAGCCGCCTTTACTTTTCCTAACGTGAGTTAGGTACCCATCAGAGTTGGGTGAACTCAGGGACGGTCTACTGACTTGAACCCGGATTCGAACTCGAGACTTACGGTTTAGCAGTTCAGCTCTCTACCGCTAGACCACTCCGTCCCCAATTATGATTTAGCTGTTATCTAAATCTTTTAGTGTGAACCTATCAGGTTTTCATCATAAGCTTAAAAGAATTTAGCTGTAACCTTTTGCAAACATACTGTTAGCTGTAATCTTATATGTGATTATTTTTTTGTGAAATAAAATTAGGGGGTTCAATATTTGGTGTGAACCTGGCATAAACCTACCAGGTTTTTGGTGTGGAGTAGCTTGAGTAACTATTGTGTTCACCAGCTGTGGGTCAAATTCAGGAAGTGTAAACAATGCTCTGGCTATCAAACCACCCTGTAGAGATCAGGTCAAACTCGTTCAATTCACTATATTTGATTTAGATGGTGTTTTTTTTTTTAAAGATAATCATGTATCATAAAATTGGATGATGTGTATTTGTTAAAGAATTAACTTAATATGAAAAGGAAAAACTTTTTTATATCTGCTAATTGGATTCACATCAGACTAAAAAAAAAGTCTTGCCATAACAATGAGGAAAACTACTAATGAAATTTGTTGTCAACAGAAAATAAAATGTAAAGCTCTCTGTGTTATTTAGATCCAAAAAATTATGGTTCAACTACATCTTTCCTTTAGCACAGAAATGGTTTAAAATGGATAGATTATTAAAAATAACATCAAAAATAAATACAAGCTTTTTCTATAATTAATTATTTTAACATCTTACTTAAATATTTCATTCATCTATTTTTCTTAAAACTTTTATTGAAACTTATATTTTGAGTATAAGGTAACTCACCATTGAATGGCCCACTAACACAACAGAGTCTGGCTTATGTTGGTTCGTATTGTACAGGGACAAAATCTTTTTTAAGCACAGATGGACAAACTCTGAAAATAAAAAAGTTGATCAACTATTATTTCCTTTACTGTAAATGACAAATTTGTTTCATTTTAGAACTCCAGTACCATATGCAGATGAGTAGTATGTCTTAACATCAAATTCTAAGTACAAAAACAGATGGCAATATATACTTTTTTGTGTTATAATGAGGCTTCACAAAAAAGAATAACAGTTTCTCACATACAATATATACGATAATTATATAGAAATCTAATAAAAGATTTAGAAAGTAGCTTTTCTAGTAATTTGTTACGTTTTGCAATGAATTGTCTGAAATTTTGGTAGAAGCATTTTGCTCATTTCTGAAGGCTTATTAAAATATTTAGTTATTGAAACAAATAAATAGGCAGAACAGAGAAGGAGATTTGCCATGTGGGGTCATAAACACAAACCATGACAAAAAGTCACAGGACATGCACCATCCTGCTAACATGACAATGAGAGAAAATAGTTCAGTTTAATATCTATCCAATACCTAATATTTTAACAGAAAAATACCTGTTTGCTTCCTGAGAACACCACCATAAAGTGCAGACAACTCCTTTAAGAAAAAAAAAGTTAAAGGATTTTATTATTAAGAATTTTAAATGACAGCTTTTGAAATAGCAAGATCCAGAGATAAGGTTTATTATTTTTAAAAATAAAAGTAAATGCATCTATGTGATTCTTAATAGCTTACTGAACATAAAGTACTGATATTTTATACTTCTAATTATTTAATTTAAAAAAAATTATCTATTGAAAAGCAATCTGTTTATAAAATTGTCTTATTTATTCCATATTCAACAGACTATCATACCTCATCAAAGTCCACAACGAAGTAGTTAAAATGTACATTGGTCTTTTCAGACATCCTGAGGGCCACAGACCCAAGTGAGCGGACTGAGATAAAAAATATTAAAATTGTAACTTACATTTACATCAATTTTGAATAGCAAAAAATGACACAGAGCCATGCCTTTTACTCACTTACCTGCCAAATAGGTAATAAAAGTATAAAGCACTAAAAGAAATTACGTACACTTATTTCTTGATGAATACAACATAAATTATTACCCTGTTTGTGGCTGCCTGCATTTCCAGGGATAAACAGAACAGGGATGCCTTTAAGGTTTAGATTCCTGTAAAAAAAAACCCAATGTTTTATAACTTTTAAAATAAATTTAAAAATTAGTTTAGAAAAGTGATTAAATTAAAATTTGTGTATAAAGACATTACATATTACTGTAAAATTTCACTTTACCTTATAGTATTAGCATAGTGCCTGTAAATAAAATTTTAAAAATCTATTATCATTACCAATCTATTATCATTTATCAAAAATATAGAACCTAATGTAAAAGCAGTTAACCCAAATAATGAGGCCACTGTGAATCAAAATAAAGCTTTAAAACATGAAATTGCTTTTGAAATTAAAATTACAAGTATTATTTTTTATCCCTTCAGCCATTGCTACAGCTACATAATGCATTTTCACACCCCAATGCAAAACACAAATATTAACAAGCACTGGACAATATCAAAGTTAACAGAAAATTAGTTAAATTTAATAAGCAGCCTTAAATTTGATCTTACCCTTCTCCATAAATAAATAATCTGTATGTTGGAAACTCCTTTACTGACCCATCAAGTTTTATTTCCTGTAAAAAAAAATCGTGATATAGTTATTGATCTATATTGCATTTAAAAAAAAAAGTCTATGTCAACAATATCTCCATATTTATTATTTCAGCTTTATTGACCTGTAAATATTGATCAATAAACATGAAGCAACATGACAGAGCAGAAAGCACAACAGCTATCACAAAAAAAAGTTATGGCTTCGGAAATTATGTCAGTCCTGGTGTTTTGTTTTTTCTTTACAGCTTAACCTTAACTTAAATGAAAAACATGCATAAAAAGTTGCATTAATTTTTTTTAAAAGCACTCATATTTCTGATAAGTAAATAATGGTTAGGGCTGGCTAGGGTTTAGTTGAGTTAAAGTTAGGGCAGGGTTATTGTGAGCATGTAAATTTAATAGATCTAGAATAATTAAGATTCTAGAATTAAATGGGTAAATGCAAAGTACAAAGAGAGAAAAACTTCTAGAGTTTAGTAAATGTACTATAAATTGCTGAAATTTAATTTTATATTGTGTGAGACATAGGCCTATATATTTATATTAGCATATTATACTTTATAGTATATGACTAGCAGTGTGTATGATTTAAATAATTAGTTAATTCCTATATCATGTCTTAATTGACCTTTGGAGAGGAATGAAAACATGCCTCTAAACTTAATGCTTGGAGTTTGAGGGGAGGGTTACCACACAAATGGCATTTCAAATGCGGCTTTTTACTTTCAGTAAGACTTTCTTAAATCTTTGTTCATCATGAATCATCATGTTTCATAATTGATTTCTTATCTAATATCTGTCTTCGTTGCGTGTGTGTCTATGACTACTAGATCTAATCTTCAGAACTAAGTCTTAGTACTTGGGGCCTACTTATAGACTTATAAGTTTAGTTAGTTTAGTTGTAACTTGTTAGTTTTGTAAAGTTTAGTAACAGTTTCAGAGTTAAGAACATTTGTTAGTAGTTGTTAGGAATTGTTTGAATAGTAGTATTAGTTACTATATCTAGATCTAGTAGCTAGACTAGTAGCAGTAGTAAACTAGTCTAGTAGATCTAGATTCTAGATCTAGAATAGTAGAAGTAGCCGCCTAACTAAAACTTGTCTTGCAACTTTCTTCTATTTATATTTTATATTTTATAACCATACGAGCTGACCCGCGACGTAGCATACGGCGGTATTTAGTTGTTTTATTTCCTTTTTTCATATTTTGTGAATTCAACACTACCTATGATGCGACTGAAAATATTTTGGTTTAATAAACTTTCAGTAGCGAGTGAAGGACAATTAATAATCCTCTTTCCACTCCTCTTCCCCCTCCACTGTGAAAGTAAAGCAGCCATCTGTGACGACAGTTTAACAGATGACAATGAAAAGGTCCAGCAGAACGTGTTATTACCTCCCATTAGTTTCAAATTGTTTAAAAACTACATTATCTGCCCCTATCTATTAGTTAGCTGTCACTAATTTGACCTGATAGTCAATAAGTCATAGACTGGTGGGGGTGGTAGCAATATGGTCTGTTGAGCTTACTTCTTGGCTTGGTGGTGTCTCGCAAAGTCCCAATGATTGAATGACGAATGAGGAAGAGAATACATCTAGATTCTAGGCCTAGGTAGATTATTTTAATTTTATTTGTAACTACACTCACACTGTCTCACACTGCTGTGTAAATTAGTAAATTAGTAAATTGGCTTAGTTTACTAGTGTGCTAGCTATTAATATTATATTATATTGATACATTTTTAATTTTAAAAAATCATTCTGAAGTGAAATTCTCATCAAAATCTAATGCCGACTACTGACTACTACTCTGACTAGTGACTACTGACTACTCAGTGACTAGATCTAGAAGATCTACCAAGCAAGTACCACAACAATCATCATCATCCAATGCTTCTCAACTCACAGTACTCACCTCACACTCACTCACACTGGCAACTCTAGCTTCTAGATCTAGATATCTAAATCTAGTTCTAGATCTAGGATCTAGATCTAAAACATTTTTTTTTACCTGATATTTTGGATACTCATACATGTATGTCATTTCACATCCATTTGTTTCGAAATTTGTTAACACATCATAAAATCCATAAGCAGCAATACTTAGAACTAATATTGAGATACTCATCGGTATGGAGGCTGCCATCTTTCTCAAAAGTTTGTCTGAAGGCGGAACAAAAGATCTCAAAGACATTTTTTTTTCATTCAGCTCAGCTTTTATCTTTTTCAAATATTTATTTTGTTGAAAAATAGCCTAAACATCTTTGTATTATAAAAAAAAATTACTAACATCAAAGCCTGATCGTGGCATAAATGACGTCACTAATGTGAAGGATGATGGAGAGCTTTGTCTTTTGTGACGATATGATTTTGATTTGATATAGACTATAGAGACGAGTCTAGATCTAGATCTAGATCTAGAGATCTAGATCTTAAATCTAGGGCTCTACTCTAGGGGGATGATAACTTTGTATGTGAATGTTTTATTTAGAAATTGAATTACTTTAAATTTGAGCGTATGCACTCAAACTAGGTTAAGTCATTTTAGTTTGGGTGGGGGTGCCTAGTTTGAATTTTCATGTTGGTATGTTAGTATGTTTTATTAAAATTTAAATTGTTTTCCTTATTTAATGTAATAGAAACATTTCATTAAACGGGGCGGGGGATGGGGCGCCAATTTTAAAGTTCGTCCCCTAACGCAAAATATCATAGCTACATCTCTGCCTTCCTATTTTAGTCGGCGAAAAAGTGCGCTCCCCCCCCCCCCCCCAACTAGGAAAAGCTGTTAAGCGGTTTTTGTCGGTCACTGTTTCTTAGGGTATTTGTTTTGCAGTTACACAGTCAAGATAGAAAACAGTTAAATCAGTATGTAAAGGCTCGTAGCTGTTAAATTTCTTGACTTTATCTGTTAATAATTCAAAACTGCAACTAAAATCATTTTAGTAAAATGAGCTCTTTTAATTTTTTTCCCAACCCAATTTGGCGCCCCTATGATGGACATATGTACCCCCTCCCCCCCCCCCCCTCGCTGCGCCTCTGCAACAAATCTAGATATATGTCTACATCTCTAAATATTAAATGTCTATATCTAGGTCAATAAAAAATGTATGATTTTTTTAAACTTGTTTATTTTGTTTTTCTGTAATTTCCAGTAGTTAGTAGAATCTTCTTTAAAAGTGTAAACAGTTAAAATGGCGTCTGATGCAGAAAAGTACGATGCAGCTCTGTTAGGAATTTTACAAAACGAAGGCAAAGTGGCCCCTTTTCTCGATGTTATTTTAGGATTTCTTTATAGAAGGTAAAATAGACACTATCTAGATCTAGATCTCTTAGAGTCTAGATATCTTAAAAAAAACTTCCATTTGTGGGATGATTTTAGATACCGATGTCCCATTGTCCGGTAAAAATATTTGGTAATCTATCGTTTTGGGTACGTAAAATCGCCCGCGGCTATTTATGTACGAAAACGTTACCTCATTGTCAAGGCTTTAATAGAAGTATATTGTCATACTTTTGTGTCAAATATTATAGATAAATGAATAATAAACCTAAATCAATGGCTAAATATATCGATATAGGCCAGAAATTAACTTTAAACAGCAGTGTCTGAGAGCAAGATTTGCTATATAATATATAAACAGCAGCCATTTGTAAAATAGTGGCTTCCCCCTGAATCTGGCGCTAAAAGCTTATAAAAATAAAACTTAGACAAGATGGCTGCTATAGTAAATGAGCATGGTTGCATCTGTTGGAAACATCGCTAGTCTTCATTTATTACTGAACAGTTTTAATTCAATTGTTTAAAAACAGGTACATAAATGAAACAAGGAAACATTTTTGTATTTTTCAAAACATAAATCCTCCTCAAAATGTGAAATAATTATTAAAATGCAAGGAGTCACCTGTTTTTCACATTACTAGTCGCGGGCGATTTTACGTACCTAAAACGATAGATTACCAAATATTTTAATATTTTATTTTGTTGCCGATTCTGGGGATTCACGTTTACCTCCAGTTGAGCGTATTATTAGTATTTTATTATACCTAAAACGATAGATTACCCTAGAATCTAGCCTTTACTATACGCCACGCTAAGATTTCTAAAATGGAGTTTTACCCCACCAGACTGCAGACCTGGGACCACCATCAAATAAATTTTTTGTTATGTACCCAACTGAGAAAAGCCTAAAAATTAAAAATTATTCGAAAAGCCCATTAAATAATTTAGAAATCATACACGGTGTTAGTGTTATTAAAATGGGGCCTAAATAATTGTAAATAAAAAAATATGGTTATAAAAATGTTACTGTTTGATTTTACCTTAAAAAAACCTTGATACGATACAGTTTTACTTTGTAGGCCTATATTATATATAATTATATATTATCTGACTATATCTGACTATATCAAGTTATCCTTCATTTCTCATTATGTTTATAAAATATAATGGCATGGTTGAGTGGTAGAGTACATATGATAGTTAATAATTACTAGATCTATTGTGAAATAGTAAGTTCAGTTTTGATGTAGGCCTATAAATTAAGTTTATGGGTTTGAAACTGTACAACAACCCTGAGTCCACCCAACTTAAAATAGTACCTGGTTTTGTGCTCAAGAAAATAGTTGAACTCATTCTAATTTGCTCATGGGTGTACTGAGATTTTATTTTGCACTACTGATAATGTAAAAGTTAGTTTGCAATGTTATTTAGGCATAATGGGTTAGAAGTATGATTTATTTTTGGTGGTAAAGCTAACCAAAAATACTGTTCATGGTAGTTTTCTTTCAAATTCTTTTTAGAACTGATTTTTTTCGCATAATGAAGGCCGACACAGATAGCTTAGGTTTTCCACCTGGTATTGCTTTCAAGCTGTTGGAAAATGTAAGAAAATATTTTTTTAAAATATTTAGTGCTTGTAAACTTAAGTCTTAGTAATAGGAATACAAAATTGAAAATGTATACAATTTTCTTTATTTCATGGTGTTGTAAAATATTAAGATATTTTTGTTTTAAGAAAGGTATTATTTATGTATGACCTACAGATTTTTAAAAAGTATGAGTCTTTGGCAGCAAAAGACTCCAAGAGGGCTGAGCAAGTGAAGAAATCAAGAGAAATTCAAGCAGCCAGTGCCACTGAAAACAGTCAGCCTGTACAGATGGATATTACAGAGGACGCCAATGTACCACCTCTGGGTAAGAATTTTTTTTCTCTCCAGTCCCGGTGTTTTTAAGAACTATTTTGTAATTTTTTAAATAACATTTTCATGATTTATTACTATGCTGCTTAACATTTTGGTTGAAAATTTTATATATCTTAGAGGCAAAAAATGATCAAAAAGTTACTAAATCTCAATCAGAAGGAGAAGTTAAGGGAGGGGTGAGTGGAATAGAAGAAACACATTCAGCAGAGCGACTTGAAGATTGTGTTGAAGAAAAGGAAAAGGAGGACCCTGAATTAGCCAGGTATGCGTTAAAACAATGATATAAAAAAAAACTGGTACTAACTAAAAGTTTGGGGCGGTACCCACTGTTGTAAGTAATGTAATTTTACCCCATCAAACAAACATGTCCCTCTAAAGTGACCAGAATTCTGACATAAGCAAGATTTCCTCCAAACTTGAAGTATTTTTTAAACTCCCTCCCCTCCGTTGAAGCACATTCAAAGCTAGAAACGGCATTTACACTACAGACAACCTCTGATAAATAAATAATTAGTGTCAGAAATAAACAAAAAATTGTAGAGTTATTCTCACAAGTAATGCAGTAAGTGTTAAGTTTACAATAAGTAAATATTAAAGTTAATTGCTTTAATAAAATTCTGTATATAGGCAGCGCAGAGAACTCCAAGCTAATCCACTGACTTACAATGGTGCGGAATATGATGCATATTTTTGGTCTCAAACCATTACAGAGGCTGATGTCAGGGTCAAAGTAAGAACCTTACAGTAATAGCTGAACCATATTTTTATTACTTTAGTTATTGACACTGTAATGGGTATATTTTACTTTTATAAAAAATAACCTTTGCACTCTTTGTTATTTTATCTCAAAAAAATTAAAGATGCTTCTATAAGTATTCAATAGAAATAATAAAATGAGTTACAGAGAATTATGTATATTCTATGTGACAGGTTCCTAAGTCAGTAGTGAAAGGCAGACAAGTGAAAGTGGAAATCCAAAAGAAACACATAACAGTAAAAAAATTAGAGCAAGATGGAACATGGTCAGATCTGGTAAACGATGATCTCAGTTGGGAAATTAATATGGAAGATTCTATGTGGACTCTAAACCCAGGAGAATATGTCCATGTAAGTGTTATCCTTTTTTAAAGCCATAATACCTGTCCCTTGTACCATATTTAACTTATAGCATCACAATTTTTAAACAGCACTATTAACTTTATACTAGTTTCTTTATAATTTGAACAGTTTGTAATTTTAAGTGCATTTTACATTATTTCTGATTAAACTAAATGTCAGTATATATTTTGATGTTATTTTACTTATAATTTATAATCAACCTTTTTAAGAAGTAACTATTTAGAATCTGGTCAACATTGTTATAATAAATATACAATTAAACTATACTATAATACAATTATTCATTGTATTAAATTAATTGGTTTAGTTGTGTAAATATTTTTGATTATATAGTCAGAAATTTCTCCTGTATTGTAAGAATATATATATATAACAATTTTATTTAACTTGCTTATCATTAAGAGTAATATAATATCATTCTAGATTAATTTAGAGAAAAGACAAGAGCGATGGTGGGAGAATGTATTTGTGGGCGAACCAAAAATAAACACCCAAAAAATTGATTGCAGTCGACCAATGACAGACTTAGATGACGAAGCACAGGCAAAAATTGAGGAGATGATGTACAACCAGCGGCAGAAACAACTGGGACTACCACAGTCCCATGAGACTGTAAGTATTGTGGATTTAACTAGAACACTAGAACAGAATTTACTATACCTGCTAAAGCGTTAAGTAAGCTTTTTTCAATTGTAGTCACAGATAGGAGAAAAATGAACTTACATGTTTGTATTAATATTTCTACTAAAACTTCTACCCACTAAGTAATGCGTAAACAACACTTTTAAATACTTTATGTATAATAATTTTTGGTTTTATGTATATGGTATTTAAAAATAGCCTGCTCGTTGGTTAATAAAAATATTTCCAATTCTTCAGTTTTATGGCATAACTAAATGTATTTAAGTAGATACTATTAATTACTTTTTTAAAACAAATAACTCATTTAAATGTATACATTTCACAACATAATGTGTGGATCTCCCCCACCCCTCTATTATTTCATTAATGGATGACCACTATATCTAAGATTTTCTTTTATTTGCTTTTAGAAAACACAGGAAGTACTTAGAAAGGCCTGGGATGCTGAAGGCTCTCCATTTAAAGGCCAACCCTTTGACCCAAGTCGTTTTAATGTAGACCCTAATGGAATTATTAATTTTAAAGATACATGATTCAGTTTTTATTTTTAAATGAATTCCAGAACTTTGTACATTCACTGATTTAGCTCTTCATTACGCTATAAATCACAGCTATGCATATTCACCCAGCTGATTGAAATAAAAGATTTTTAAAATCTTGGCTTTTTGTACTATTTGGACATTTTTATTTTATGAGTATTAGTTACTGCTGAGATGCCCAGGACTCATGCACTTTTTAAGTGAAAGAAACATTTCATTGAGATGTTTTATTATACAGGGGATGCAAAATTTCAGGAATCTTTTAAAGTGGTGCCTAATTGGATACGGGAAAAAGAACCCAAAACACACTTGCTTTATGATGGTAGCATTGGCACTGTACAGGACGGTGTTGTCAAATGGTAGAGCATTTGTCTGTTATATCTGGCTCTAGACTCCATCATGTTGTCTGAAAATTATGTGTTGTCTGGCATCTTATGTGATTGGCTCCTCAGTCTGTGCTTGCTAGTTTTCTCAGTTTATTAAGTAGTTTTATTCCTTTAGTTTGGGTTTTTTATTTTTTCCAGTCATGTAAAATACACCTACGCAAGCAGGATAGTAATTTTTTATAGCACAGAGTTGTCTGGGGTTGGCTTTATTGTGGTTGGATGTGAGATTTGTTTTCTGTGTTAATAGACAAGCCCGTTTTAGTCAATTTGTTCAACTTCATGAAGCCAGAATCCCAACATTATCTTCAGTGCTGATTAGTTAAAAGTCATCCGTGTACATACTGCATTTTACTCTTGATAATGTCATTTATATGGAAATATGGGGGGGCAAGACTACTCCGAGTGGGCTTCAAATATTATATGTTACTGTAAATCAGGGGTCTCCAAACTTTTCAGCCTGAGGGCCACATTAAATATCAAATAACAGTTCGGGCGCCGAATCAAAACATTGATTTAGTTTTTAATTAATTATTTAATATTATTTTATTCAGTTATTATTTAATAACACATTGCTACAATACACATGAAAGCATGTCATTGTATTAGTAGAATGGTAGAATTGTTTCATGGATGACAGAAATTTCTGGCTTTAGATTTGATGTCTCTAACATCAACAGTGACCTGAGATTATCATCGGACAAGTTTGTTCTCAAATGGTTCTTCACATATTTCATTCTTGAAGTTTGCTCACACAGGTATGTTGCTCAAAAAATTTAAAGGTAGATCTACCTTGATGGAAAAGTTTTGGCATTAGGAAAGTCTTCTTTGGTATAAAACCCATCAGTTCTTTGAACGTGCCCCTTAAGAGGTCATTTGCTTGCAACTCAATGACCTCCAGCTGAGTTCAACATCTGGCTACATTTGCTTCTCACTTCTCCTACCTTTGAATCCAAGTCACAAAAAAATCGCTGCTAAAACTGCAATTAAAGGTCTTTGATGATCTTGCATGCAAATGACATGGGAAACTCAGCTGTTACTTCAGGCATGAAGACCTTGCACTGTTGAAAGTGAGTCCAGTTGTTGGTCTGTACTTATTCCAAAAACAAGACAAGTTTGGATCTTAAGGCCTTTAGGTGGGTGAATATTAACAGAAACCAGATTTTCCTATCCTTGTAGTTTTAGAAAATTTAAATGACTAGTTATGTCTTCAACTTCAACAAAGGCCAATTTCCATACCCACTATTCATCAGGCATTAATGGCTGTGGCTTGCCTTTACTTTTCCAGGAAGTCACCTGTTTCCTTTAGTTACTTAAATACTCTGTCCCACAACTGCCATCTTACTGCTGTGTAATAATATGGTCAATCTTGTGATGATGACATCATTGATGTGACTGGATCTCTCAACATGTCACTGAACTATCTATGATATTGATAGAGCCCACATGATCTTATTAAATTCACCAGCTTCACCACAGGATTCAGTACACTGCTTGTATCCACATATTTAGCAGACAAAGCTTGCTGGTTAATAATACAGTGCAGGACCGTTGGTTGTAGAATTAGAATGTTTTTCTCATTACACATCTGCTTCACGCCTCAGCCTACAACCCCCCCCCCCCCTCAAAATTGCAGTTGAAATTTTCTTAAAACATCGATGTTTTCCAAAATCTTGGCTGGACTCAAAATAGGGTATTTTAGTCAATTCCTATTGCAATTTATTAAAACAGTTTTCTAAAACGCGAAATTCGTTTTCTAACATGCATAAGTGTGACCTCGCACCATCTGAACCTCCCCTCACACCGTCACAAAATTACGGACTCCCTCCCCCCTGTGAGTGTGACGTCATTTATGGACCAACCTTTAGTCCAGCCCATGTTACATCAGTAAAAAAAATGTCAATTGAATATATCGTCTCCGGTAACTGTGCCATACATGTTATATAGGGAAGCCAGCTCTAGTGTTATGTACACGTCTTCATCCACACAAGCAGTTGAGAGGTGGAACATCTGTCTAGCAACTCATCCATTGCAATTGAAAAACTTGTTAGCATTTTTCGCTATTTGTTGAGTCACAAATGGCTGCAACGCAGCAGGCAAATGTATTTGCAACCAAAGCTACTTTTTCAAATTGCCTTGACTATTCTGGGTTAAGTTCCTCAGCCACCTCCATCAAACTTTTAGCAATCATGTTTTGCGCTGCAGTGGAAGTTTGTAAAGCATAACGAACTACTGTTTTAATTCGGTAAAAACATCTAAGAAGAGGCTGATCTTGCAGAAAGACATTATTTCCATAATTTTTTCCGTAGGTAAAATTATCTCGGGCCTCCATATTCTGGCAGTAGTTTGGAGACTCCTGCTGTATAACATCCTTGAGTCTACCCAGCTCGTTGGTGGCTGGGCATAGTGTTGACCAAGAGTCCCTCCCAGTATCAATTGTATTTTAAAATACAAACATTAAAATTAAAGGCAGAACACTGTACCTTGTAGTTCATTACACTATTCCTCTATGAGTTCACCTACACTTCAAGGCCAAAAAGGTATTTTTAAAAAAAAATATTTAACGTGGGGCTGGTGGTGCAGCCGCATTGTAATTAGTTGACCATGATTGATAATTACTAGCGTGATAGCCAAATCTTCACAAAAACCTGGCTAAAAGGTGGGGCAAGTAGTAATCAAGTGACACCTTTAATCTAATATTAGAAAAAAACAGGTCTGAATGAAGTGCAAGTTATATGTTTAACAAAATGGACCACAGGAACAACAAACTTAAAAAAAATGTTACACCACAAACAAAAACCCAACACTTGCATACACTAACAAGTGTTTATTTAGTCAGAAATTAAATTATTCAACTAGCGGTCTGTCTGTCCTTCCAATCAATAAGTGGACCATGGTTTGGCTTGTACTGGACACCAACGCCATCAGGGACTAGTTTACCCTCAGCTCGCATACGTTCATAATCAGTACGTGGCCACTTTGTGAAACCCCACTTCTTGGAAACAACAATCTGTAAAAAAAAGTTTAAAAAATATAATCAAACCAAGGTTAATCAAAAGTAAAAAAAACCCCCATAAAACCAGCAAGGATATTGTACACAAGGCAAACAACCATTAACCTATATCACAAACCCACCTTTTGTCTGCCTGGGTATTTGAATTTGGCACGACGAAGAGCTTCAATTACTTTAGTTTCATCAGCCTCACGTGCACGCACTGACATAATAGGCTGTCCAATGTTTACTCTAGCCACTGTACCTTGAGGTTTGCCAAAAGCTCCTCTCATACCAGTCTGGAGCCTGAATATTGATAGAAAACAACTTATAACAGCTGTAACCAAAATAGGACTATCTAAATCAAAATAACACAAAGCTTCAGCACTTACCTATCAGCCCCAGCGCACGACAACATCTTATTGATTCGGTTGATGTGAAAGGGGTGCAACCTCACACGCAGATGGAAAGCATCTTTGCCACAGTTTTTAACCAAATATTTGTTAGCGCAGATGCGTCCAGCTTCCAAAGCTTCAGATGAGAGCTGTTCATATTCATCTGAGATCATGTGGACACACAGTGGAAACTCATCTACTCTAGCCTTCTTGCGGCCCAAATCAAAAATCCTAATCTTGGGATCTGAAAAAAAAGTTTATAATGAACTACAGCTGTTTCCACAAATCAAAGGAGGCTGTCAACTAAGTAGATTCTATGTGCCAAACAAAATGGTTTACTTACCAGGAACACCACGACAGAAACGAGATTTTGGATAAGGTTTATTTTTACAGTAACGGTAGCTGAAAAAGAAAGACTTTGAATTAATTTTTAACCTACACATTTAAACAAATTAATGACAATACAGGCAGTCAAGAAATCACAATTGGATCCACCCAAATACAATATATCATGAATTGATCATAGTATTGGTTGATGAAATTTTCATGCCACTTCATTACCTAACCTAAGATTGATTGAACATAAAATGTGACACTGTCTTTCCTAAAGAATTTGATCGGTTTGCTGAATTGCAATGCAAAAAACTGATACGTAGACATTAAGTCTTTAACACTAACAGTGTCCACCAAATAAGACCTTACCAAGCTACGTAGAATCAAGAACAATTTAAGCTGGATACTGAAATTATTGTAATTGTTATGTCTGGTTTTATGTAGGCCGTTCGAATTCGCAGCTTCCGGGTTTGTTGTTTTGAAGCCATCTCACGGCTCATGCGCTTACCAAAAATGGCGACCAGTTTCGCTTTCACTAATGGGTAGAGCGATAAAACTAATGATTACGAAGCCATCGTTAATTTAAGAAATCGGAACTATCCGTTTCTATTTAAGTCTGTTATTTAAGAATTGTCGGATCTACTTTTGGCCTAATTCCTTTGTTTGTCTCGCAAGCGGCGCCTTAGTGAAAGTAGCTCTATGAATTCTTGTCTTTTATATCAAATAACTCTTACATATCGCTTCCAGATGCAAACCAGCTTATGTCAGATGTAAACTTTAAAGTATTAATTTTACACACATTACCATTAACTGGTAATAATTTGGCGTGTTAATGAGATATGTGCGTGGGAAAACGATCACCCCCCAATAATGCCATTTTATTATAATCTTGCTTAGTGAAAACGAGGCGCGGGAAAATGTGTGCTGCGCAAGAATCCAATCATTTGGCTAGATTTATGACTGTTTTTTTATGTCACACCTAAAAATAGAATGTTTACGCTTTCTTCATTGATGATCGCTTTCTTCATTGATGATCGTTTTCATTATTTTTTAAACTGAAAGTATGAATTATTAGTTAGATTTCAGGTTTTGTAACTTGGTATACTTACCCTTTATCAAAATTAAAAGCATAGCATGCTGATTGTGAACAAATATAGTCATAAAACACAGAAATATAAAGTTACAAACAATGCGATGTCAGGATGTGCCACACCCGGGCCACACCCCCTCAAGAAAACACGTGTTTATTAAGCTGTTTATGTCACTTTACACCAGTAATTAAAATTAATTTTCAAATTTTTATCACTTATTGGGTAAGATTAAGCACATGTATACTGAAAATTAAAAAAAAAACAAAAGCAAATTCTGTTTTAATGAAGGTCACGGGTCAAGTTTTTTTTCCTTCTGTCAAGTTCATTGGAGGTTGCCACAGACTGACCTGACTTTGGAATTTTTTTTCAGTAATAATGACTTTACACAGAAAGTTAAAATATGCTAAATTAGCTTAGTTTACTAGTGTTCTAGCTATTATTGATACATTTTTAATGGTAATCTATCGTTTTGGGTACGTAAAATCGCCCGCGACTTGTAATGTGAACACCAGGTGACTCCTTAAATTTTAATAATTATTTCACATTTTGAGGAGGATTTATGTTTTTTAAAATACAAAAATGTTTCCTTGTTTCATTTATGTACCTGTTTTTAAACAATTGAATTAAAACTTTCCCGTAATAAATGAAGACTAGCGATGTTTCCAACAGATGCAACCATGCTCATTTACTATAGCAGCCATCTTGTTTAAGTTTTATTTTTATAAGCTTTTAGCGGGAGATTCAGGGGGAAGTCACTCTATTTTACAAATGGCTGCTGTTTATATAGCAAATCTTGCTCTCAGACACTGCTGTTTAAAGTTAATTTCTGGCCTATATCGATATATTTAGCCATTGATTTAGGTTTATTATTCATTTATCTATAATATTTGACACAAACACATGACAATATACTTCTATTAAAGCCTTGACAATGAGGTAACGTTTTCGTACATTAATAGCCGCGGGCGATTTTACGTACCCAAAACGATAGATTACCTTTTTAATAAAAAAAATCATTCTGTAATTCTCATCAAAAAGCCTATTTTATGGTTAGAAAATTGGGTTAGGACTAATCTAGAGTAGACCCAATTGTTGACAACAGCAAGCCTACAATTATAGGGATTTTGGTAAAAAAACACTAATCATCATATAAAAATAAAAATTACATATTCTTGTAGAGCTCAACTATATGAAAACAAAACAAAAAAGATTTTCTGTCTAGCTCAAATAGATTTTTTTTAGCGAATTTTTTTGTGAGGGGTGGAATGCCCTTGCTTTTGCATTGGCCAATTGTGACAAGTCATGGTATACCTGAATAAATTGAGCATAGTTATTTTACTTGCAGTTGTATTTTGTTCATATTTGCAGAGTTGAGCTAGAATGATATATAGAACTTGTATATGCTGTTGAAATAAATAAAAATAATACAGAAGTATATTTTTGTGTTGGCTTCCTTCCATAACCCCAAAAAAACTGTGCTGCGCAAATATGAAAATGTTTCTAAAGCAATGTTTTACAGTGAATGAAAGAACTACAAAGTTAGCAATCTAAAGTAAATGACTTGAACACTGAAATGTGCATATAACTGCATATAACTGCCCCATTATTTTGGGCAGGTGAAGTAGAGTCCATCTTTAAGACACTTTGTTATAAAACTGTGCTGCGCAAATATGAAAAAGTTTCTAAAGCAATGCTTTATATAAATACAGTGAATGAAAGAACTACATAGTTAGCAATCTAAAGTAAATGACTTGAACACTGTAATGTGCATATAATTGCCGTATTATTTTGGGCAGGTGAAGTAGAGTCTATCTTTAAGCCATTTTGTTAAAAGTGAACTGAAGTTATCTGATCAATGTTTTTATGTGTGTATTGTGTATGAATTCTGATTTTCAGCATATAAATATAACTAAGTAAGGGTAAGTAGAACTTGAATACTTAAAATTACAGTTAGCACATAGCTAGTGTAGTGTATTCTAGCAACAGACAGGTAACCTATGTCTGACTCAGCAAAATTTTACTTCAAGCAAAACTAGAACTAGAGTTGAAAAAATAAAAGACAGGTAGATCTATATTAAAATATGTTTAAAACAACAAGTAGGAGATTTGTTTGTACATTACATAAGAATACTGTTGTTAGTGTATCAAAACTAAAAGCGATCGGGATGAAGAAATATAACATTGGAGTCAATGGGGGCAACGTGACCTACTTACGGTGACTACTTTCAAATGAGTATTTACTAATGTCAAAGTCAAAATATCCAAAAATAAATATCATTTCTATAAAAATGGGATGTATATGCTTTGGAAACTTTCATTATCTAAATGGAAACTTTTCAAAAATCGCGCTTTTAAAGCATTTGAAGTTAACCTTTATACCGCGGTAAGACCAAAGCAGAGACAGCATGCAATCAGATCGCTAAGCCATCAAAACAACTGGAAAACCATTCTACTTTTCATTTAACATTAGGAAATGACCTTTTAAACTTAATTAATAACCATAAATTAAAAACTTATTAGTATGCAAAACTAAATCTCGTGCGCCCGGTATCAGAAAGTAATGGGAGATTTCGGGTCATGTTTTTACCGCGATCTCGGCCGATACCGACAAGCCTACTACAAATTACCAACCTTTTTCATTGATTTTATTACTGTGCCATTATCAGACACTGGTATGAGAAATCCAGGCTTAGGGAGCTAAATAACATTCTAGATCTAAGCAAAATTTGGTTTCGCCCCTGATGTTGGAGCCTTGGTTATTGAACGCATATTTTAAGTACTAAAAGACGCGAACAACAAAACTAGCTATTTCGTAATAAATAAGACCTCTACGTGACGCTTAAAACAAAAACACTATAATCTATAGAACTGAGTTCGTTTCGTTTTAGTTCACGCTGTAATTATTGACTTATTTACATTTTAACACGTTCTTCGTGCTTACTTACCATCGAGCTGGTCGGCGACCCATTGTTATCTGAAATAAAATATCCCAAAAGACATATATTAACGTCTACTCTTGAAAATAAGTTTCTACAAGCTTATATTACAAGTTGACATTTAAATTTTATAAACACTAAATCACTAAGACAAGGATTAAAACCGATTTATTTACGCAGACAGCAAACTTACGGGTTGTTGTTTTCCCGACCCAGAAAAAGAGGAAGAAGTTAGCCTAACCGGAAGGACTAGTCATGTGACCAAAGAAATGCAAGAGTTATCTTAGGCCTACCTGCTTTTGGGGTGGTATTATTAAAGAAGGGGGCGAATGCAGTCTGCTAAAGAAAATACACTACAGACATGTAAACAAGGAAATCATTCTGGTAGAACACAAATCCAGAGTAACCTTTAGACAATGCTTTTAAGTTGTAAACAAAAGGAAAATGAATGGTAAGAAAAATAGTTTAAAATTTCAGAAATTTGATCAGAGTAATGATAAGAATTTTATGATGATGTGCGTGTGCACTCAAGTGTTTTAGTCTTTAGTGACTCTTTAGTGTACTGTGAACTGTGTCTGTAAAAGTAAAAAAAAGTAAAGTTTCCCTTTCAAACCTGACGGTCTATGGGACAAGTCAAGTAGAGTTCACTTGTTTCTGTGACCTCGGCATACGAAGAGATAGTGTGGTCAGCACTATGCCCAGCCGCCTTTACTTCCCCTAACGTGAGTTACTAGTGTTAGGTACCCATCAGAGCTGGGTGTACTCAGGGACAGTCTACTGACTTGAATCAGGATTCGAACTCGAGACTTATGGTTAGTTTACTTTTTACTCAAGTGTACTGTACTAAAAAATAAATATTATTAAATAAATATACTTTTCTAAATATAGTATTAAAATAGTACTAGATCTAGAATCTAGATCTAAATAACTAATATAACTAGTGTACTAGTACTATCGTAAGTAGATCTAACTAAGATCTAGACTAGTTCTAGTTAATAGTTATTCATGATAATTCAGTTAATACAGTTAGTTAAGTGTGTAGTGTACTATTGCTAAAGTACTTATTTAATATTTAATAATAATACATTGATTGTATTCTCAGGTTTAGTGTTATAGTCTGAAATTTATGGTTGGTTTTGGGCAAGTGATTGGGTTAGCCAGTGGCGTAGGCAGGGGGGGGGGTCATAATCCCCCCCCCCCCCCCATAGACCCCTCCTCGGTATATAGAAAAAGTATGAGGGGGGGGGGTGCAAATCGAAAGTTTGAGGGGGGGTGCAAATTGAAAATTTGTCCCCGGGTAAAAATTAGAACCCCCCCTTGAGACGATCCTGGCTATGCCACTGGGGTTAGCATGCCATTGACAATAGCAAGTTATAATGCCATGGCATTTTTAAAAACTGGTATAACACATACACCAAATACAAATGTGTTCTCTGTGTAATATATTTATACCAGGCTAGCTTTGATCTGTGAAAAGAATCTTCTAATTTTTTATAAATCCCAGTAGAGCATAGATCATGTACATATTTTGAGTTTTGCTACTTTCCCCCCATTTCTTTTTTTAACTCTTCCCAATAATTTTCATGTCTTTTTAATTGTTTTTAAGTGTTTTTCTTGATCCTTGTCATGGCATGCCTTATCTGGTAATATTTGTTGCCAGTTTCCTCAACATACAGCCTATCCATCTCCATCTTTTCAAAATTTATTACTTCAATGAAAAGAATGATTTTTATTTAAAAGTTGTTGGAGAAATGTACTAATTGACTAAATTATTTAATTGTTTTTTATGTTGTTGACATTTTGTTAGGCATAAGCAGAGATGGACCACAACATTGTTGGATACTTAGAATTGCATTTATTGTGTATTAGCATAGATGATACCAAGCCTGATAAACGCTGTTGTTTCTTTCTGAGTCTGACATGTAATTGTTAAATAGGTTGAAGATCTAGAAGTAAATTACTAAATGCACTAATTTAAACTGTTTAGGCAATGACCCTCACCAGAATGAACGGCAGTCCATCTTAACAAGGTTGCTAGATGCAGTGAAACAAGTAAGATTTCACATTTTATTTGATCAAATCTTCTTTGTTTTTCTATTCTGTAATGTCTTTGTTAATTATTTTTTATTTTCATAGTCTTAATTTTAGCATAATGTCAAACAATTATTTTCATTTAATTTTGTTTTATAATTATGTATTTAAATTAATTTCTCTAGCTTAAGCAAGCCAAAGTTTGAACACAGATCTTAATTTCTTAACTTGTTTGTATGATTTTAGTGTCAAGTCAGGTTTGGAGGCAGATCAGAACTAGCAACAGATTCAGATAGCAGGTTGGATATTATTGATTCATATTTTGTTCATTTTATATTAGTATGACATATTTTTTAATTTATTGGTCACAAACTGTCATTTTACTGGAAATTGCTCAGGCTTTGTGGTAGTTAAAACACCTCCTTAATTTTATGATACATACAAGATCCATACAGTTTTATTTACTAGTTCTAGTTTGTTAATTTATTAAAGTTAAGCGTAGCTTTTTTTTTTGTTAGATAGTTTAGATGGCAAATAACATACAGTACATCAGTTTCTTGAACAACGATTTATATGGGATTGTATCATCAGCACTAATTACACTTGTGATTTATCTGTTCTACCAGTGAACTATGCTGCCCAATTTGTACTGTTCTAATATACATATTAAAAATTTGAGCACCCTTGTATTGAAATGTTCTGTGCTCAATTATTGTCCCTAGGATCTCATGCTTGTGTGCAGCGTGGGAGACAGCCCTGCAACATGGCATGAAGAAGAACAACAAGGCTCTGTCCGCTTTCAAGTAAAGTATTTTAATCTGTGCATTTCACTATGGAAAAAACCTATGTTTTATATAACTGAAGCATAAAACTTGTATAATCACAATGTGTATAACATGTGACTTGTGTAACTTAGAGGGAGCTCCTTGTGATAACAATCATTGATGTTCCAGACAAATGACAGAGAGAGCTGGGTTAAGTAAAGTCACAGATCTGTTCTCAGACATTAAGCGGATTGAGGTAGAGCCAGGTAAGTCATTCATTCACTTTGTTGATACATTTCATCTTGATTGAGTGGTTTTTTTAATAAAAGAAACTGCAGACAATGATTTTTGTACTCTACTTATTGAAAAACGACTTTGTACTCTTATTACTATGGTTTGTTTCAGTGTTTTGGCATTATGCGAAAGAACATTTAACAAAACATGAGTTTCAAAGGTTTAATAAACTGAAGCTGGTGAACACAGATACAGGAAGAGGGAGAGCATGGCTGAGAGCATCACTCAATGAGCACTCTCTGGAGCGGTACATGCACATGCTCATAGAAAGGGATGAAATGTTGGCGTAAGTGCTGTTTTTTTCATAATAGTAGCAGGCTTCTTAGTTAATTCTTTTCTGGGGAAGAGAAAAAAATGTAAAGTTACCCATTTTGAATCTGCTGGTCTGTGGGACAGATAAAGTAAAATTCATCAGTTTCTGTGACCTCTGCATGTAAAGGAATAGTGTAGTGAGCACTTTGCATATTTTGGGGAATAAAGCATTATTTCCCCTTTATTCAATTGGCTCAAAATGAGTATTGTATTTTTAAAAAATTATTTTAAAATTTATTTTTAAAATAATTTTTTTTAAATACTATACAATACAATTAACTATTTTTCTAAACTTTGGAACATAAGTTGATTTTTAAAACTGGTTATTGATATTTTTTTTCGTAGGCAGCATTATGAAGACTGGGCCTTTTTAAGAGACTTAGAAAGAAGTAGCATGTTACCCAATATGGCAGCTGGTGAGTATCAAAGTACTTCCTGTATGCTGACTTTTTATTTTACTGAAGCAGATAAGGGTTTCACTATTGTCATGTGGTGTATTTAAATGTAACTTTTGTTGTATCCCTCCAGGGTTAGGTTCCATTCTGTTCGCCATCACAATAGATAGACCAGAGCTCAACAAAGGCTACACTCTGCCCAATTCTAGACAAATTAACAGCACCATAGAATCTGTGGAGGCTGTAGATAAAGAGGACGAGCCAAGTCCGGTGATATCAGAAAGTGTTTCCCCAGCATCAGGTCATTGTTTACACCTACTACTAATATAAAAGAGAATTGAAAAACATATAACTACATTATTGATTTAATACATTAATTCTTTTAATTCTTGTGGTGAGATTTAGTAAAATGGCAGTATTGAAAGAGCTTAGAATATTACTGTAACCACTTGCTAATTGTTTACGTTTTTAATTAAGTGGTAACTAACAAAAATGTCAGCATTACCATAGTTCAGTTACAATACTGTTGGAGGTTTTAATAAATGGTTTAACATAACAATGATTTAGCAAAGAAAAAAGAAAAGAAGAAAAAGAAGAAAATTCCGAATGTGGTCAGTTTTGATGAGGATGAGATGGTGGGCACTGTGATAACAAGGTCAGGGAGCAGCAGTGAATCTACAGGCAAAGGGAAAGACATCATTATCAGTAAGTCTTATCAATCATGATGGCCAGATTTTTGTCAGTCAAAAAATAACTTGCCAAAAGGGACAAACTGTTAGCCATAGTTTCTCTAAAAAAAATTCCTAGAAGTCAATTTTTGCTAGAAATATTTTTACTGATCAGTTGTCTTAAATTAAGTTGTGTATTTGAAGAATTAAGGTGTTGTAACTGCCTCTCGCAGATATTATCAATTTTGAAGTATATTTATTACCAAAAATGTTTCTTTGCAGGTGATGAAATACATGATGATAATGTATTTAGCTCTGACAAGGATCCCTCCACTAAATCAGGAGGAGACAACACTGTGATAGAACCAACACTACCTGCTCTTGTGCGTGTCTCTAGTCAAGTTAGTTCCCCTTCACTGCGCTCACTCAACTCAGACCAGTTGTCAAAGTCAAGCATTGGATCATATAGCGACTTGGACCATGACTCATCGTTAGTTCTAATTTTTAACTGGGTCTTTTGTAAACATATTTATTTTTTAACTGTTGGTATTTCTTGAGAAAAACATTGTTGGTGTAATGATATTTATGTTTATTTAAAACTAATATTTAGCAAATTGTTTTTTGTCATTTACATTGCTAGCACTTGAAGAGATAGTTATTAAATTAACAAAATATCAGCAAGACCAATTAACAAAATATCAGCATGACCATAATTCAGCCACATGTATTATTCCTTTTATGTATTGTTGGTATTTAATTCGGAAACCAGTTGTTTGTGTAGTTGCATCCATGTTTTACATACAATTGTTTTCCAGCTCATTCATGAGCCCAGTGGGGGCAGATGGAATGGTCATGTATACTGAGATGGTACCACTCAGCAGGGATCTATCTAGTCAGCTGTCCGACCCCTATGCCACCCATGATTACCCCAAACAGAAAGATATAGAAAGTGCATCTCTTGCTCTTACACTTGCTCAAAATAGTCTTTCAAATAGGTATGTTGTTTCATTGATATAAAAGTCATTTTAATTATACAGGAAGTATCTTTTGTATTTAAAATACTTTTCCGATGGATGTTAAATGTGTATTAACTATGCATGAAATGTAAATTGGTAGCATAATTATTTGTTAATTCAACTTATTATTACAGCAGTAAAAAATTGGTAGAAGGAAATAAGGAACCAAGTCAGGATTCTAAAGACTCCATGACCCCTGGTATGTAAACAATGATTGTTTGTGTTAATTAACCAGTTAATTATGATTAGTTTGTCTGCTGGCTGGGTTATTTGTTTATATCTGATACAAATTATGACGTTACAGATGAACTTAAACAGGCAGTGGTGGCCATGATGCTGCGCAAAGATTCAGTTGAGGAACAGAAGAAGTGAGTTTAATTCTGTTGTATACCATGGTCCCAGTGGACTTGATTTAGTTTTCTCATATTAGATGGGGTGGGGGACTTGTTAAGTGGAGACAGCAACACATCAAGGAGAGGAGTATTAGAGACATTACTCAACCTTTAATTTGATTTTGCTCTAGTGTATTAGAGACATTTCTCAACCGTATGTGCTGTAGTGTATTAGAGACATTTTACTCCCACTTACAGGAAACTAGAAGGTATGTTGCAGCATGAAATGGAAACCTCCTCTACTTTAAGAGCAGAAATTGAAGAGCTAAAAATGCACCATGCAAGCAGGCACGAAAAAGAACAAACAAAAATTCAGGTTTTGCAAAAGTGAGGTTTTTTTTTGTTAAATTTAAATTCTAGTAACCTGATTTTAAGGTTGACATTTTAATAGAATTGCTACTTTTATTTTGTTTTAAATTTCCTCTTGCATAAAAAACTACTTTTTTTTTGGCTACCATTAGAGAAAATGAGCTACTGAAACACCAGCTCAAGAAATATGTCAGTGCTGTACAAATGCTGCGTACTGAAGGAATCAGCAAGGAAGGTGAAGACATGTTTTTTTTAAATTTACTTTTGGGTCCTTTCTTTTTAAACAAGAACAAGAGAAAAACACAATTTTACACTTAAGTTTATGATATAATTTTCTTTCAGGTTTAATAGGGTAAATTACTGCAGAAAACAATCCAACTCATTGTTACAAATAAATGTGCACTATCTATGTTTTTATTTGAAAAGATTCTTTAGGAATCCATTTGGAAGAGCCACAACCCAGCATTCCACCACCCAAACCCATGATAGACTACAGTCACGAGGCTGCTGAGTATGAGAAAAAACTCATTCAGGTGTGTGGTTTATTTTTGCTTACTCAGCACCTCTTTGGAGGTCATCCAATAAGTTACATAACACATTTGTAGCTGGTTGGTACTCCCATGGTCCTCCTATCCACAGATTACAATTTTTTACTCACACACCCCCCCCCCCCCCCTTCACAAACCAACAATTTTTCTTTAATTTATTATACTTACTCTCTTTACTTAAAAATTCCTTGAACACCCCATTTCCCCCCTGTACCATTCATAGCTTAAAGTCACACATGTATGCACCGTCCCCCACTTTCACAAACCCACAATTGCTCTGTAATTCATTGTAGTAGACCTACTTACTTTCTGTACTTTAAAATCCCTTGAACACCCACCTTACCCCCTCTCCAAGATGCTGTACATTTATGCATGATCCCTTATTAGAACATAAACAATTTGACATTAAGATCATTATTAGATTTTTTCCTAGGAAAACTTTTATTATACGGTATCATAATGTTAATTTTTTCTTAGGAACTTTTATTATAAAGTATCATAATTTTTCCTTAGGACCTTTTATTGTTACAACATTGAAAAGTAAACATTCATAATAATTTGTTTTCCTTTTGCAGGTTGCTGAGATGCATGGAGAACTGATGGAGTTCAATGAACAACTTCATCGTCAGATTGTGGCCAAGGAAGCTCTGCTCAGGCAGCTTAGAGAGGAGTTGATTCTTCTACGTGGACCAGTAAGTCTTAACTGTAATATTCCTTGTACTGGTTTTAATTTGAATCCGACTCTAACCCTTTGTGTTTTTTAAGCAAATGTTTTTTGTTTTTCATGTCTAATTAGTTTTAAGTTGTAAATTGTTCTCTGCTTCCATCTTAGCTTCCATATGACAGACATCCTTCAGTTGACTCAGGACATGAAATAGAAAGGTACACTTTTTTAAAAAAAGTTATATTTCCACTGTTTAACTTAGTCACATAGATAACTAAATTCAGGATTTATTCAATTTATTCATTTATCATGATAGATAACTAAATTAAAGGAGTTTATTCAATGTATCATTTATCATAATAAACTAAATTAAAGGATATATTTGAAATATCATTTATAATGATAGATAACTACTCAATTAACGTTTTATTGGATATAACGTTATCACAACAGCTTAAACCTACAGAGAACTCTAATCAACATATGGATACCTTCAGCCTTTCTTAGAGGGACTTCCAATAACACACATCACGTTTATCAGGTATCTCTTTTTCATACAGTCATGCAGAAACCTGGTAGTCTTGTTATACTCTACCCTCCCTTCTTTTTCTTCCTATATGCCAAGGAAGAAAAATCTTAATAAACTTAGTATAATTTTTTAAAGATTACAGAATTATCATACACTGTACTTGTATTACTATACAGTTGCTTTACACTGTTGACTTCTTTATTTCATGTAAATTGAAATTTGGAATAGAAAAGGTGGTCACCAAAACAATATGTAATAAAATACTTAAAAAAAACTTTTTAAAAAACCACGTTTTTCTTGTGGACTAAAAAGTAGAAAATAACTATTTACATACATTTGATGACAAAAAACGTGGGTCGGGCAGATGGGTCGGGAAATTTGATGGTGAACGTACCCACGTTTTTTGTCATCAAATGTATGTAAATAGTTATTTTCTACTTTTTAGTCCACAAGAAAAACGTGGTTTTTTAAAAAGTTTTTTTTAAGTATTTTATTTTCTCCTTTTTAGTCCGTTGCTACACATGAAAAACGTGGTTTTTAAAAAAGTTTTTTATATAGTTTATTTTCTACTTTATCTAATGACTTGATTAAGTATGACTTGACTAAGTGTTTATAAATACACGGACTAAAAATCTTGAGCGACCAGGATTCGAACCTGGGTTGTCGCGGCCACAACGCGAAGTACTAACCACTATACGATCACGGCCAGCGCGCTCACATCGATTGGGGCCGAAGTAACTGTGTCAATAGGCCTCCAGTCTTGTCGGTATCTTTAGAAATCATGTCCTCAATTTTATGGTCCTTAGGGCGTAATTAAATTAAGCTAATTATGGTCTCTAATTGCTAGTTTTTATGATTGCATCTGAAATTGTTAGGCGAAAGTAGCCTGCATGCCAAATTTTAGATCTATAGAGCAATCAGAAGTGGGCTAATTTTCGATGTCAATTTTAACAACAAACACACGCGAAGCTGAGTTAATAAAAACGTGTTAAAAAAAGTAAATAAGAATGTGCTCTAGTCTAGAAAGTATCTAATTTTGTTGTGAGAAAAATTAAAATAGACTTATCATAATAGATTTCTCAGGTGTGCTAGTTAATGTAGAGCATCAAAATAAGCAGGAAAAACTAATAGTTATAAAAATGATCACCTACTTTCATAGTGTTTGTCCGATTGCTGTTAAATAGACAAATGTTTTTTTCCCAAGGTTTATGTTCGTATCAGAGATGAGGAATGGAATGTTTACAGGCGCTACTCCCAGTTTCTAGATCTGCATATGAGACTGAAGAAAGTTTATCCCATTGTAGGCAAATATGACTTCCCACCCAAAAAAGCAATTGGAAAAAAGGTTGGTGGATCTTAGTTTAGGTTGCTTCAGCTTGCTGTGGTGTTGTGTGAATGACATGTTATAATTTTGTTCTGCATTTTTTTTACCTTTATAGAAACACACATAAAATACACTATATTTTAAAAGAGACTCTTTATTATTCCCTTTCTAAACTACACTATTGTAGTTAATCACCATAGTAGTAAAACACACAATTTAATGTAAAATTTACTCACTTAAGATATTTATGTGAATATGGCATACAAATCGCTTTTTGTCAGACAGATATTGTAATAGATAGTTTTAAGTATTTACTTATTGATAATGAATTAAACAAATGGACTAAATATTTATTTATTTAGGAAGCAAAACTGGTGGAAAGCAGGCGCCAACTATTTCAGGCCTATTTACGCAACATAATCAACTTAATGACAGAAAAAAATGACCAACTTGCCAATATGGCCACCAAGGAAAAGCTTATATCATATCTGCCATTTTTCAAGTAAGGTGTGGTGGGGGGAAATTGCTTGCTTTCTCTATTCTTGTTACTTTATTACTTTCCTTCTTATACACGAACATATATTTACTACTGTGACGAGGACGAGAACTCTCATATCCGTACAGTAAATAATACAACTCGAATATCAGTTTGATTCACAATATTTTACTTATTATACATCCGATGCTTCACACAATATATATTTGTTGCCTACACCTACTGTTCAAGGTTTCCTACACTATTGTCCCTACACTGTTCCCTAACTCTACACTTGAATCCGTCCTCTCACTACAATGGTCTCAACCTCGACTGCCTAGATTCCACTGTCTCCTAACCCTCATCGTCCTCACTTCTTTGTCTTCCCCATCCGGTCTAACCTAATTTGCATGTCGCCACAGTTCTGTCGTACCTGATTAAAATGTCAGACCCTGCTAATAAACTACCCCCATTCCGGTCACCAAGGCTAACTAGATACGTGTCTGCTACACCTACCCCCCACAATGATGTCGCCCGTAATTACAATCTAATTCTAACCCGTGCTTCGTCGATCGTCTCCGTCACGTACACTGTCTATCCTACACCTGCATCTACGCCACCACATATTCCTCCCCCCTTTCAAATAAAAAGCTAATTATATTAGCTTTTTTTTCTATAGTTAGTAACTTGTATCAATAACTGTGTAACATACAACGATGAATAAAGTACATATTATATCAATACACTCATAATATAGTAATTCACATAGTAATACATTTCAACAATCAAGTAATGTCACAGTTCTTAAACATCCGTTGTTTTCATTAAGCTTTGATTGATTGATCCCTATAAATTTTTTTTTTTTTTTTTTTTTCACTGATAAACACACTTAATTGACCGTTGCGGCCTGGTCGAAAAACTGAACGCGACCGTGCGCAAGGATTCTCAGGCTTAAAAGATATTTCACAAAGTTCTGTTTCTGCTTGTCCAGTCGATGTGTTGATCTGCTGACCTGCTCCTGTCGATGTGTTGATCTGCTGACCTGCTCCTGTAGATGTGTTGATCTGAGGAACTGCTCCTGTCGATGTGTTGTTCGGCTGATCTGCTTATGTTGTAGTGTCCTTGATGACGTTATGTGTATTTGTCCTTGTAAATGTGTTGTCGTTTGCTGTAGCAAATTTAGAGACTTGGTATTTGTTGTCGACGAGTTAGTTTTACGATGACATTGGCGAGGGCGGCAGCGCAAGGATACGTCACATCAGACTGTCTCTCATGGTTGTTTCTGAGAAAATATGAATTGACACGTCGTCTTAAACATATGCCTCGTTAGCGTTGTTTGTGCCCGTCAGACAAATAACCTTCCTCTTATAAAAATAATCCCACCAAATTTTGATGTGCTGGTTATTTGTCCACGACACACTACATAACAACAACAATGGTAACTACATTATAATCATCAACAATAATACTAACTACATTATAATAATCATCAACTACATAATGGGTCTTCCAACAGAATTATATTAGATACAAATAAAGAAAAGACATGTGTGCTTTGCGTGTCACATATCTGTAGTGCAGGAGCAGCTCTCTGCCTGTGACTGTAGACTGTGCATAATCATAAATATTCAACTTCTCATGGAAACTTTAAGACATTCTTCTCTTTATGGTTATAATGGAGCAACTCTCATTATACTATGTAATGACAACATCTTTTTTCTGTAACATCAAAAGTGACCCATCGTTTCACGCCGATATTTTCGACGACTTATATCATACTGTTTGATAACTTGAATTTACTTTACTTGTTAATCCTTGTGTAAACGTTGTTCAAAACCGTTCGTAAGGGGGTGCGCGTGGTCCAAGTTCTATCCGTCATGGGGTAAAGCACATGGGGCGCTAGGTTAAGGTTAGGGTTGAACAGGTCCGTCGTTTGTCTTGTACTCGTGTGCAGGTCATTTCTTTAGGCTCTGTAGTTTCTTGTACTTCTGACATTATCTGATTAAGTGCTGACCAGGAATAGTAGTAAGCTCTCTCACCAATTGAATTATTTAGGACATATTCTTCATTTTCATTGTTGACTTTTTTCTCTAATCTGAGCAATCTGTCATTAAGTTGATCATTCTGTTTTCTCAAACTGAGAACAACTGAGCCGATTTCTGTGATTTTTTTAGACAACTCTTCAATAACTGTGTTCATGTCTAACACCAAATTATTACTTCTTTTCTGTAGATCGTACATCGTTCTGTCTACCGGTTCGATAGAACTTTGTGTGTCGGCCTGTTTGCTTCTTACTTGTGTTGTATGGTTCATGTCATTCTCAACTTGAAATTGTTTGACACCTCTGATGTTGCCTATGATAAGATCGTGTGGACCATATCTAAACACAACAGCTTCTACTGTTCTTGTTGCTGATGGCGTGCTAATCTGGATTATAGCTGTTGGCCAAACATATGTTATGCCTCGTGAACTCTGGACATGTTGTGTTCTGCCTGTGTATTGATGTCGTCTAACAAAGCAGCTTCTAACCGCTATTGTAGAGCATCTTGTGTCTCTTATAGCTCGTGAAAATCTGTTATTAATCTTGGCTGTAAATGTGTCTTTCCTGTTGCTGGCTTCACTAAAAGATGTCATGTATGCTGATCTATAAATTGGTCTCTTGTATTGACGTCTATTCTGCTCTATATTCCGCTGGAGTCTATCATAATATAGTTTTTTACAATTTATCTTTTTATGACCTGGTCTATTACAGTAGTAGCATCGAACATTGTAGTAGTTCTTTTGTCGCAAATAGTTCATCTGCATGTTGTGGTCTGTTGTGGTATCTTCTTTAACTGAGTGTGGCGTATCAATTTTTGTAGTAGGCTTGCTCTCTGATTCACTGTATGAGTCATCTGAATCGTAGTAATATTCATAAGTAGATCTAGGTAGCTCTGCTTTTTGTTGTAGCGTTGACTCATGGTGTTTAGGTTGCTGTGACCGATTCTCTAACTTTAATTTATATTGACGTAGTTCTTCTTCTTTATCCTTCTCTATTCTAGCCAATTGAATAGCTTTGTCAGCCTCTACTTTTGCTTTCTCAGTTTCTTTGTCTGCATCTATTTTTGCTAGTCTCTCTGCATCTTCTTGATCAGCTTTATGCTTCTCATTCATCCACGCTTCTAGTTCAGCGCCGCTTTTTTCTAATGACTTGCCTACTTTGCATAGTTGGGCCCAGTCGGTCATGGTATATGCTAAGCCTAACTCGGGCTTAGTTTTATTTAGAAGTTCATTAAATGGAGGCATGTTTTAGTGTGATGTAATATAGGTGATGCGTGGAAAAAAAAGAGATATCAAAATAACTCTAACTGAACAGGACGATACACATAAATGGACGAAAGTAAAAATAAATGTAGCCTACCACAGTAGTAACACGTGACAGGTTATATAGAAGACATGAGTTACACTATAGACTATAGACACGATAATGCGAACATTACGTGATACAGCTAACTATAAATATGTACCTCTTAAATAGCAGGCCTACACCCAAAGTGTCCTATAATTAGGAAGCCTCAGCCAATTTAAGAGTAACAAACCTATAAAAGCTAATTACTGATAGACAAATACAAAACAATAAACAAAAATACTGGTATAATATCCAGCACAGGATCTAAAATCCCTGTTATTTGAATAAAATTAGAGGAAGGTACTTATCTTTGCTTCCTTGCAATAACTTGTAGCACTTCTGATAGACACAATATGTTGCAACCATCACTTCTGGTCAGATCAAAGTTCAAACAACACTTCTGTACGGATTACGAACCACTGTGCTCCACCAATATGTGGTGGGGGGAAATTGCTTGCTTTCTCTATTCTTGTTACTTTATTACTTTCCTTCTTATACACGAACATATATTTACTACTGTGACGAGGACGAGAACTCTCATATCCGTACAGTAAATAATACAACTCGAATATCAGTTTGATTCACAATATTTTACTTATTATACATCCGATGCTTCACACAATATATATTTGTTGCCTACACCTACTGTTCAAGGTTTCCTACACTATTGTCCCTACACTGTTCCCTAACTCTACACTTGAATCCGTCCTCTCACTACAATGGTCTCAACCTCGACTGCCTAGATTCCACTGTCTCCTAACCCTCATCGTCCTCACTTCTTTGTCTTCCCCATCCGGTCTAACCTAATTTGCATGTCGCCACAGTTCTGTCGTACCTGATTAAAATGTCAGACCCTGCTAATAAACTACCCCCATTCCGGTCACCAAGGCTAACTAGATACGTGTCTGCTACACCTACCCCCCACAATGATGTCGCCCGTAATTACAATCTAATTCTAACCCGTGCTTCGTCGATCGTCTCCGTCACGTACACTGTCTATCCTACACCTGCATCTACGCCACCACATAAGGCTCTACTGTTATAACACTTAGTGTAAATGATTAGAACTTCTAGCAAGTTGTAATGTCTTAAAAACTGAAGATAGTTACTCAAATAATGTCAAATTGGTGTTAGATATCTTTACCATACCCAACTGTCCCATTCCACTATTACATTTTTTCAAAAGTTCTATATACATTTGTGGGTATAATAAAAATGCATACTGATTAATAAGATTAACAAATATAAATATACTTATGTTGCATTAAGTTTTAAGAATGATGGAGGATTAAAGCAGTTTCTTTAAGTCTCAAACAATTTCTTGTATGCATTAAGAAATAAAAAGCAGTTTTTCTTTTTTAATGCAAGTCTTAAACAATAGCTTGTTTGTTTTATGAAATTTTAGAGACAAGGTTGAAGATGAAGGTAAGAAAGGAAAAAAAGGAAAAAGCAACTCTACAACAACAGTGCCGATATCAGCCCCTGAAAGCCCTGCAGTAAGAACAGATGAAAGTGGTCATGTGCATTACCAAGGATTATAAATCAAACCTTTCTTATGTATAGTATGTAAACTGCAACAGTTTTATGTTGAAAGCTGTGAAAATCCGTAACTTTTTACTAAGTAAATAATGAATGCTATGTGGTTGCTATATAAACTAGACTTGGTCTGTTAGTTAAATTGTTTAGCTGCACAAAACATCAAACATGTTTGTGTTGTGAAAATGTTATGGTGTCCATGTTTTGAATCACTTACCTTGTTGAATTTTTTAAAAAACTGTGCTACTCTTTGATACACTTTATTTTTTTATACTGATTGGATTGAACATGCTGACAAATTTTTTTATCTTTAATAATCTTAATGGGCAAGTGCCATCACAAAGTCAGCTGACTGCTCTTAGCTTTTTGAGACAAGTAGCTTTGTAAATTTTAGCTCTAAACTCTAAACATTAACCATGATAAGTTTTTTTGTTTTTTTTTAATCTAAAAAATTAATACTTACACCCATCACTGGATAAAAACATTTCAGTGACATATTGGGGACCAAACAATACCGGCTCGTTAACAAATAAACCACATGCACAAACAATCAAAAAATGGCTTTTGAGTACGGGCATGATATGAGTTGGAATTACATTACATTATTACATATTTTAATGTACCATTGTAAAAACAATATTAAACCTTTAATTTGAACAAGTTATTTCCCTTGAATGTTTTCTAAAGTGAATATTTTTCAGTGATCTTCAGCTTCTTTATTTGTGCCATAATGTTTAAACTCTATCAGAAATGACATTTATTAAACAATGTGTGCTTATAACAGCCAAATATTAGTTTATTCATGTCATGAATGATATCAGTTATATAATTTATTATACAATGTGTGTGATATTTTAAAAAATCTCAGTTATATAATTTATTATACAATGTGTGTGATATTTTAAAAAATCTTAAAGTTAAACTGTGCTACTCTAGCCACAACTAATGTAAGTAATGATCAATGTCTTAATGAAGTACAATAAAAACAAAAGTTTATCACTTGGCTGTGAAATGTGTACATTAGCTTTGAAGGTACGACTTTTTTTTATAACCCCTCCTTAGATAATCATTGTATATTCTTACATTTTAATGTAGATTACATTTGTGTTTTGTACGATGTGTTATGTAAACAAAAGAACACACTGTTAAAATAAAAGTAATTATTTTCTAATTAATATCATCCAATGGTTTGTTTAATTAAGGTGTGTCCAGCAGTTCAGTGTGTTAGCCCAGTGACCAAGCTTTGTATCTAAAAAGTTCTTTCTTTAAGAATCTATCATGTGTAAATGTCAGAGTTGTGTAAATAGCTCAGGTCAAGTGGTTAGATGTTCAGTGTTGGATGGAGACCCAATAGCTCTGGATATTGAACATAGCATGGCCGCACAAAATTGTTGAATACAACAAACCAAAATAGTGATGTCAGGTTTATTCTTAGAATGTACTGATGAAGAAACATTTGTGTATATTATCACAATACATCACTGAGCCATTCTTCATATCTGATTACTGTACCAAGAAATAGATGATGTTAGAAAAACTAGGAAAAAACATGGCTTTAGTCTTAGTTAATGTTAACTACTGTATGTTCTAGAAAAGATTACCAATTGACCTAACATCACCTGCCTTATTATTGTCAATACAAAGAATATCAATGGTTCCTTTTTAAAGGTTAAAAAATATGGTAATTTTAAGGTTCAATGTGCACAATGAACATTAATCACTTTTTGCTTTATTAATCTCAATTTTAAACATTTGAAATATTTTAAAAGTTGGCCAATTTTTAATAATTCCCTTATGCTGGCATTAAAAACTGAAATGTACTCATTATATTAAATATGTATGAAGTAAGACACTGTGCAATAATTCTGCTCGTAATTTGGAATAAATAAATTCAACTTACAGGAATACCTTTTATGTCAAAGTTCCTACACTTAATATTTTCTTATTTACCAAAAAAATGTATTATTTATTAAAATAAAGGACTAGATTATAAAATGTATAATTTTTATTGTTACATTAGGCAATTTTTGAAATTTGCAAATTAAATTGGCACGTTGTGTGATTCACAGTTAGAGGAGACTCACTCAGCACCATTATACCGCGTTTACACTTGCAACATGTATACTATACATGTCTAGAAAAAAAACTTCTCAATAAGTGAGTAGGCTCCCCTTTTATCTTAGGCCCTATAGCGAAGTTTTTTTTTTTCTAGACATGTATATTATACATGTTGCAAATGTAAACGCAGTATTAGATTGTCAAAGTTTATACAAACGGCTGGCTAAAGGTTTATTTCATCAGTCCCTGTTTAATTTAGACCATGACACTGTACTGTGTACTTTGTATTTTTGTTCTCCTGTTGATTGCCAGCATGTTATTAATACTTTTAATTGTAAGATTTCAAAATAAAGGATGTAGAAATATTTTTAGTCTTTATGCTTTGATGGGACGGCATGGTCGAATGGTACAGCATATGACTGCTGACCCGTAAGTCTCAAGTTTGAATCCTGGTTCAAGTCCACTAATGTACCTGAGTTCACCCAGTTCTGATGGGTTCCTGAATCACAATAGAAAGGACGGCCGGACAGAGTGCTGACCACACTGTCCCTGCCAAGGTCACAGAAACAGGTGAATTCCGTGCATAGTCAGATTCAAAAGGGAACTTTAAAATATCAGTTTGCTTCTTATTTCGTAACTGCAGGAGATCGATATGAAATTTTTCTCTTTGCAAATTATTCTGCCATAACTAAAATAGCAAAAAGGATCAGCAGTTGTTTTTTTTTCTTTCTCAAAACTACAAAAGGAAATTAATTAAAAGAGAGCAGGGTACGTCTATCAATGAAGTTACAATTTTCTTACCCAACCAAGTTCTACAAAACAAATAATAAAAAATATATTAAGCAACAGAAGGCCAACACATTTTAACTGAATTGAAATGTATAAAATTTATTTCAAATTAGTTTTAAAAAAAAATTATATATACATACACTATGTGGTTAAAATAGGTAGAAAAACATTTCTTGCTTATCACTGAGAGGTACGTCAAACAGAGGTTCCTACTTTTCATCTGGTTTAAAGCTGTTATTTCACATTTCCCTCACTACTCCTAGGAAGGCACATTATTCCTTTACAATTTTAAGGCACCTCATTGTTTCTAATCTAAGGAACCTCTGTGCTAATAGAAATGCTGCCAGAAATAAGGACAATGCTGACATTTGTAAACAAAACAAAACATGAAGAAAAAGTTCAGAGGTCATCTCACACAAATTTAGTGAATTTTTACCCCTTATCATCAGAAAGAGTTCAATCTCCAAAATTACATTAACATCCCCCTTCCTTGTAACAAAACTTCAAAAAGAAAAACACAATTTTCAGCACTAATATGTTAAAAAATTTATATTTGTCAGTAATTCCCCCCAAATACTAGTGAATCCACTGCTCCAAGATTTGTGTTGTCATTTTGAGTGAAATGATCCATTCTCTGCTCATTGTTACCATACCCTAACTAGTTGTGCATATACTAATTAACATAATCTTAATTAGAAGGTCAAGGCAAGTCATAATGAATTTTGTTTATTAATCAAAACATAAGGTCACCATAATTAAGTTTCAAAAGAAAGTGTTTGATGTAATTGTATAATGTAAAGTAAAAATTAAATGTTATCAGTTGACATTCACTTAACTTTTCACAAAATGTTATTTTTAGAAATTAATTGCATCACTATTCATGATCACCATTGTTAGTAATTTTATGGTGTGTTAACTATTACATATAAACTAAGTCTGAAAGAAGGAGACTCATTAAATAAACCACATCTAAGACTTTTTGTTGCCCACCCTTTAAACCAAAAAGGAACTAAACAAATAGAGGATTATATATTATTTTTAATGAACAAGAATAATAATAAATTGCTAAACTTTTTCATTAGCCAATAACTGTGAAAGCATAGTGATGCAATCAATGTAATATAGTAACAGTGTTTGTTTACTTCATATGCAGAACTATATCCTAGGTATGAAGCAAAAAAGTCAAGCCAAAACCGTATGAAATAACAAGCTACAGTTGACAAAATATAACTCAATTGAACCAGCCATCACGCAGTTGCAATTAACATTTAGGCTGAGAATAAAGCACTTAAAGATAACAACAAGCAGAAATTTCCCTCATCCATTGAATGCTGTTATTATGCAAAAAAAATATACATAAAATTGTTATATTTTTTTCAATCTAGTAGCATATTTTGTTTGGAAGAACTGCACATTAAATAGTTACTCAAGCTGAATATAAACTACACAAGAGAAAAAAAGCACTTATTTTTACAGATATTTTTTTCTAATTATTACTTATTCAATGTTTTACTGACCTAAACGAATGAATCACATAAAAGTGGAAATGCAAGAAATCAGTTTTCAAGTCCTGAATCTTTTTTTATAACAAATACATTTAACACAAGTTTCTAAAAAGAGACAATTGTCAACTTGAAATGAGAGTATTTATTGGTTGTCCACGTAATTTTGTATCACAGCATAATTTTGAATTGCTATCACTATCATGTACACCACAATGAGAACCATTAGTGCCATTGCACGCAGCAGAATTGTTTGAAGTGGGTAATCTAGGCGCGGAGGATGAAGAGTACAAAGGGTCTGAATTAGTTAAACTATGACTATCATTACGCCACAAGGAATCTTCATAAACACTTTTTTCTACGACAAGTAATAGTTCCTTTTCCCCATTACTCAGCTCTTTCCTTAAAAATTCAAGCAAACTATTTTGATCTCCTATTTCTGAAGGTGAATCAAGTTTCGAATCCAGGTTCATATACTTTCCTTGAAGCCAGCGAATAGCAATCCAGTGCTTGCGATGTATTGGAAGTTTCACAAATCCCAGTTTATAATCTGTAGGTGTATTGAGGATAAAACCCATTATTCTCTCAGCAGCTAAGATGCTTACATCCCTGTTAAAATAAATAGTTTTTATACATTAATAATTTAAAATAAACCTACACATTTTTACCACACAACATTATTAATTCGAATGCACGGACTGCAAAAATTAGGGTCTAATGGAGACACAACTTGAAAATCAAATAAAATTACAAGTCATTCCAGCGCTATTAATATTTTATTTAGATTGTAGGCAACTCACTTCCTTTTATCAAACCAGATTGTTTCATATCCTTTTTCTTGTAATGCCGCCATTAGAACATTTACATCATAATTTCCAAGTCCAAGCATACTTCGATGAGGGTTAATAAAAGTTCCGGGGGATAACCTGGGCAATATAGAGAACAACATGATTAATACAAGACTTAAAGTACACGTAAGTTACGATGTAATTGTAAATAGGTAGGTTTGTTTCTATTTCTGTGGTTGACACCATAGAAAATACCTAGCTATCTTAACTCTCCCTAAATATGTCAAGCACCCCGTAATAGCTGGATGGTTTCAATTACATTATCTAAAGACTCAAGTTAACAATTGACCTTTAAACGTAGTCAAACTCTAAAATTAAAAACATGAGTGTTTGTAATTACAAACTTTACTTATTTACAGCAGCATAGCTAAAACCTTAAGAAAAATAAAATATTTAACATAATTCTCCACAAAGAACACTGATTTTTAACTTCTTTTTACATCCAAAACACCCTAATAATTTGAATTAGGATGCTAAATTAGCTATACACTATGATGAAAAGAAGTAAATTTATTCTGGTTGGTTAAGCTCCTAATACTAGTCTTAATGTTGTGATGATTTACATACCTATTACATATGTCATCAAGATCCTTTTTGGTGAAAGCTTGCTTGGTTTGTAAAAGATTGTTCAAAGCATGCAAAGCACACAATTCTTTAACTTGTCTTTCATGATACAGTTTACCATCACTTTCTACTGCTTTCTCTCCCATTTTGCTAAAACAAAGGAATTACTCTCATTTGATAACAGAATTAAGTTCAATGTAACATGTTGTTCACTGAAAAAAATAAGTTAAATCTATCAGCTCTAATACAAAATATTTTATATTAATAATATGAAGGCCTAATGAGTAATGATTATATATTATGACAGGGAATTCATGTAAAATATTAAAGTAACAAAAAATTAACATCTAATTATTTAGGCCCTAACTATTTTAATAGTTGGCTACAAGGTTCAAGATATTGTCAGTATTTCAAATTGCCTACTATTTGCCTAGCCTGCATGATCTGACAGGAATTTAACTGGGGTGTTGTATTAATATTATATATACGAGCCGACCCGCAGCGTATCATACGCCGCTATTTAGTTGTTTTATTTTCTACTTTTCAGTAATTCATATTTTGTGAATTCGACAGTACCAATGCTGCCACTGAAAATATTTGCTTTAAAACACTAACACCCCCCCTTTTCCCTAACCCCGACCCTACACCCCCCCCCCCCGTGAAAGCAGCCTCCTCTTAGTTATTTCTTAGTTACCTCCTGTAAGTTTAAAGTCAAACTAAATTATCTGCCCCTAATAGAAACCCGACTCTACTGGTAAACATTTACGTTTAGCGTGACCACAGCTCACGCCAGACAATGTGGGGGTGGGATGGGGGTGGTAGTGATAGTGATAGAGAGAAAGAGAGGGGACTGCAAGGAGGCGCTTGCAGCTTGTTTCCTAACGGCTCCCAGAAGAGAATTATATATATAGATAATCAATAGACAAAGTGAAGAGTAGTTCACAATAAAACAAAGTTTAGCATGAGCATCAGAAGCATTTGGGGGAGGGTTTATGAGTTTATGTTTTATATCATTTATAGGCCGATTCTAGCCGGAGAAGATGCGCATGTGTATAATGTTACAATGACCTGTTTTCTCTTAATTATTTAACTTAATATCTAAATGTTTGTTGTTTAGGCCTGTGTTGTCTTGATAAGACAGGAATTAACTCGATAAATACTTAAATAGTAGATTTAAATAGGCTATTAAAATAGATTTTCAAAAAAATTATACTTAACTATAGTCTAGAGCCCTTTAAAAGATATACTACACAACTATACTAGGAACCCTCATCCAATGACAACCCCCCCAAAGCGCAACTGCTTGAACACACGGTACATCTAGTTTTGTCAGAAGAATTAGGATAAAAAGGAAAATTGCTCCCATTGTGCAGCTATAAAAGACTAATTAAAAATTTCATTAACTGCACAGCTGTTAAGTTAATAGTATTTAATTTGAGACAATTGTGCATCTATAGGTCATTGTGTTTTGTATCTTCTACCAGCCAAACTAGCCCTGGGGGAAGAAGCTTCGTCTTCTGAGTAGTCACTTTGTTATTTAGGCCCTATTGTTATTTAATATTTACAACATCACGGCTACTAGCTTAAAAAATTTTTTTTAATTTTAAACCAATACTTTTCTTAGGCCCTTATTATTTAGTAATTATTCATTTTAAATTTTAAGTCTAGGCCCTAGGCCTAACTCAGGGGGTTAGGGAAGGGAATGTGTGATTGAGAATTCTGGATTTGACATTTGTCTAATTATAGTCTAATCTACATGGGGACCATGCGAGACACCACCATGTAAACGCATGCCGTTACTCCCCTGCTCTTTAGGCATATAGCTTCTACCCCCACCATTCTGGTGAGCTAAGGGTCACCAAGAATGTTCACAATCGTAGAGCCGGCTATTAGGGGCAAATAATTTAGCTTTTAAACTATTTGAAACTAATGGGAGGTAATAACAAATTCTGCTTGATCTTATCATTGTCGTCCATAAACTGTCATCAAGGATGGCTGTTTTCACGTGGGGGGGGGGGGGGGGGGGGGGGAAATGGAGGGAAGTGTCACTAACTATGAAGTACTGAAAAGTAGAAAATAAAACAACTAAACAGCAATGTATGATATGCTGCGAGTCAGCTTGTAGTCTAATAATATGAATTTAATTTCTTACTTATTTAATATTTATTAAAATTAATTTTTTTAATGCCTAAGGCAAGGGATGCCATCATTGTGACTTATCAATCATCTCATCATGTATTAATTAGTATAGACTAAGTAGATCTATAGATAGATCTACAGGGATTAGATAGATCTAGTATTTTTTCTCAGTGTCTTATTATAAGAAATAGAGTAGGGTTTGTTTATATAATGACTTAAATTTATTTTATAGTTGCCACTGTTTTTAATCTTTCGCAAAAACTAAAGTAAATATTAAATACACGCAAATCGCTAAGACATATTAAACGGATCAATGTCAAATATCATTTTAGTTTTGATTCCTAGAAATAGTGGATACATTTTAATAATAGTAGGGTCGAATTAATTAATTAATCTGTTTTGTAATATTGCCAAGGGAGGTAATTTAAAAATAAATTCAACTCACGCTAATACAAAAATGTGAATGCAAAAACTCCAAGAGGGAATTATTGTTGGAATAATATAATTAGCTAAATGTGAATGCAAATTTGCAGATACATATTGTAAGAGGACATTATTGTTGGAATATTATAATTAGCATGGATTGATAAAACGCTATCTTTTATTTATTTTATTCACTAAACATCCTGTTTACTAATTATAATTTTTAATCAACTATTCCACACTGTTATAGACGCATCAACACTTTCATTAGGTGCGCAATGGTTTTAGTCATGAATCTCTATAGCAAATTTTTTAAATTTAAAGTAGTGACAAAAAATGCATGAATTGATAAAGTGCAATATGGTAGGTAAAACACGGATATTTTAAATAATGCCTTTTATTTATTTTATACACTGAACATACTGTTTACTAATTATTAATCTAACTTTCCATTTGCTGACAAGCTGGGGGTTTTATAGTCATTCACTGAATCAGGTGTGTCCACCGACGCTTGGACAGGGTGCCATTTAGCGCCACGGGCTAAACTGTGAGCACTATGCGTTTATGTTTGCATTTAAGTTGTGTTTATGTTGTGAGTGTTGTGCTTGTTTTTTTGTTTGTGTTTTTTCACGTTTGCATTTGCATTGTGTTGGCTTTTTCATTTGTTTTTATTTGTGTTTGTTTTTTCTTTTGTGTTTGTGTGTTGCATTTGTGTTTTCTTTTGTGGTTGTGTTGTGTCTTCTTTTGTGTTGTGTTTAGTTTTGTTCTGTTCCCAAGTTGGCTTAGTTGGTACATTTAAAAAAGATTTACCGAGGCGGAGCACGGGTATGCAGCTAGTAATAATAGAATCTATCTAGACGTCTAGTCTATATTATATCATTGTAAATCAGAATTATTAATAAATGTGAATCATTGTGTAGTCAATGTGTATGTGCAGTGAACTGTTACTGTACTGTAGTGTATTCGTTCGTGTAAAAGCAAATATCTTTAATCATTAATCTAGTCTAATAAATTAAATTACCTAAATTCTAATGATTATAATTATATAAATATATATGAATGATAATCCTAGCTAAGCTAGGCCAAGAAATAATACCATTTGTCAAGTATTTTAACAACATCCAAAAGGCTATCTGCTGGTTTTAAACATTTAGAATCTAAAATTATTTAATCTGGAATCTAATTTTATTATTTTCTAAGCTAGGCTTTATATTATTCAATTGGAAATAGGTCCGTAATTAATCGTTTTCTGGAGAAAGAATGGTTAAATTTTCGGTACAACACTTTATTGCTAGAACTAGTTATTAGAGCTAGTCTATATAACTATATAATGATTCAATTGTATAAATTTCAAAGTATTGTCTGTTCATTATTTAAAATCATAATATTGTATTATATTACGTAGTTTTATATCAATCGTTTTATATATTTTAGGTATACTTTTGTTTGTTTATTTTACTCGGTACTACATCTACTTCCTGAAATATGTATGATGACACGGTGAAGCAAAACTTAAAGTTACCAAAATGCTAGCCTTGTTCAATATTGATGAGGATATTTATAGTATCACGTAATGCAAAAGTTTCGAGTGTGTTGCATCAAGTTGTGGTTTAAAAATGATAAATGCTAAATTTGCGGGTTCAATCTAGGGCTTTTTCTGCTACGTTATGTTTACTTTGTTATAGGGAGTGAAAAGGGAAATATAAAAAAAAAATGATTTTTTAAACTCAACTGGTGTAGTCACCGGACTGTCATAAACTACTATTAAAACTGTCAACTGTAGCCTACTGTTAATTAATTATACTAAGTTCTTGGATGTTATTCACTGATGTTATATTTAGAAGCAGTCATGATGACCATTCTGAAATGACATAATTTAAAAATTAAGTCATTTAAGAATTATTAAGCACAACAATGTGAAACTGAAATGTAAAATAAGTTATCAAATCTGGCCTAATGAAGTGACATCAGCATCTGATTGTAGTATCACAGTACTGTTAGATCTACTGACAGTAGCCTAGTTAGTCCAGTCCAGTTGAAGATGATAAACACCTGAAGCACAATACTGTGGGTTATTTAAATTTTACATGTAGTATGGTCTACTATGTACAGGAGTACAGGGAGCTGTATTGGTCAAACCATACAATATCAACAGAATACATTATAAGTTTAAGCTCATCAAAATAGGTGATATGATAAGTAATCATGCTTGCTTTTGTTGAATTTGTATCATGACTTTAATTCTAAATCACTGTACATTTCTTTATACTTTCAGGTTGGCTTAAAGGAACTGTCTCAGTACAAACATGTGATCGCATTTTAAAATTGTGCTGTATTTTATTTACAAGTGTCAAACACTGATGAAATAATTGCAACAGATTAAGTGTTATCTTGCAGTACTGAGTTAGTAGTTGAAGAAAAATGGCAGCATTAATGGACTTGGAAAAAGTTCAAACACCTGAGTATGAAAATGGTGGTGGACTCTTTGGTCCAGATTTAGGGGAATTAGAAATGTCTACACTAACATGCAAGGTAAAAAAACCCAACCCAACTGTGTTTATTTCTTAAGCTGTAAATAACACTTGTAATATACCTAGATAATACGATTTCTAATGATTATTCATTTTATACAATACCCCTAATTGAATTGCTGTGTTCTTTTTCAGACTGCTCTTGTAAGTCCCAGTAATGAAGAGTATGACAATCTTATGGAAGACATAAGAACTAGGATAATGGATACACAAGGAGAAACCATATATGAAATTGGAACAGGGGGTTAGCTTTGTTACTATTCTATTTTTCTTCTGGGACTTGTAAGTTATACAGTACTTAAACAAAAATAGATATGTAGCTGACAGAGCCAATAGATTAATAACTGGATGATAAAGCATCTATCTGTGAATCATTATTTAACAATATCAACAATATTAGTAGGCATTCAGTACTCAAAAAAAAAAATTAAACAATGAAGTCTAGTGTGCTCAAAGGGAAATAACTTGAATTTCAATTTTATACTTACCTTCACACATTTCAAATATGTTTATGCCTCCATCTGATTATGAAAATTTAATATGTGATGTATTATGTCTCATAGATAGTAGTCTAAGCATATCTTGATATTGCTGTTTTTATGTTCACATTTGTAAAGTAAACTTGATTCTTCCAGATGGAGACAAACCAGGTTTAAAAGATGAAGACTATGTCGCATCAGTTGCAACCTTAAAAAGTATTGCAGAATCTCTTGATTTGGAGTGTGTTTTACTGAGGGAAAGGACAGCAGAGGAAGGAAAAGTTGCAGAGTTTCTTCTGAGAAAAAGGCTGAATTCTGAAGATTTTATGGAAGTTAGGTTTGTAACTTTTTCCTTTCATATTTTTATACATCTTATTTTAGAACTAAAACAAGTCACAGCTTAAGAATTAAAAAGATTCATTCACATTTTATGAAAGACTGTTTTTGTCTTCTTGCATTGCCTATTCTTGTCCTCATCTGATCATGTTAAAGCTTTAAGTGCCTAACAATGGTGTTCATAATTTTCTTGACACTTGTTCTTGTTTTTTATTATTTTATTAATAAATATTTAGGGGCCTAGTTGTTGGGCTAAATGAATTGTTTTAATTGGATTAATGTACTTGAAAAACAAACATTCTATATTAGCTATATCATCATTTATATCATTAATTATTTGTTGTTACTCTAAATTTTTTATCTACTCCAATAGAGTGGCTGTAGTAGGCAATGTGGATGCAGGTAAAAGTACTCTGCTGGGTGTGTTGACACATGGGGAGCTGGATAATGGCAGGGGTGTGGCCAGACAGAAGCTCTTCAGACATAAACATGAGATGGAATCTGGCCGCACCAGCAGTGTGGGGAATGACATCTTGGGCTTTGATGCTGCAGGGGAAGTGGTCAACAAACCTGAACATGGTCATCTCGACTGGATTAAAATTTGTGAAGAGGCAGCTAAGGTGAACTACTTGCTTCAATCTTTTGTGTTATGTTTAGACAGAAACTGAAAACACAAGTTTATAAATAAAAAGTTTTAAGTTCAGTTTTAAAAAAATATTTTGCTTTGTCTTAATAAATTTAATAATGCATACATTTTTTATGTTTAGCTTATGTCTTTCCTAACAGCTTTAAATATTTAACTGTTTATCCCTAGGTTGTAACGTTTATTGATTTGGCTGGACATGAAAGATATTTAAAGACAACAGTGTTTGGTATGACTGGACATGCACCTGATTTTGCTATGTTGATGGTAATTGGTTGGCTCAGCTTTCTTTATTTTAATAAACATGATGGCTAATTGTATTTACAACTTTTTTGTTTTCATTTGGAAAAAATAATTATTACAATATAACTTTAGTTTAAATAAGTAAAATGATTTAAATAATTTTTGTTTATTCTCTGCATGGTTAAAATAGATTTAAAATTATTTTCCCCATCCTTTCTAGATTGGAGCTAATGCAGGTGTGATAGGCATGACCAAAGAACACCTCGGTCTGGCGTTAGCTCTGAACGTGCCAGTGTTTGTTGTGGTGACGAAGATTGACATGTGCCCACCCAACGTGTTACAGGAAACACTCAAACTGCTGACCAGAATTCTCAAATCACCAGGATGTCGTAAGATTCCTGTTTTAGTACAGAATACTGATGATGTGGTGGTCACAGCCACTAATTTTACTTCTGAAAGGTAATGTTGGGCATGCAATTTTTAAGAATTTATATTAGTATGTTCCGTGTTTTTTTAATCTCTTTTTACTTCATTTCTTTGCGTGTACACACTGAATTTTACATTTCCAATTGATTTGTTATTATTACTGGTATCTATCAATATAGGACCACAAACAACACAGATAACAGTTTTAAGATTTTCATAGATTAGCTTCAAACTATTGATTAGCTTCTTTTTATAATAATAATTGTTCATTAAATAATTTATCTTAATTAGGATGTGTCCTGTATTTCAAGTGTCAAATGTTACTGGGGAGAATCTAGACTTGTTGAAAATGTTTTTAAATTTATTGTCTACACGTGTGAAATGTGATGCATCTCAGCCTGCAGAATTTCAAATAGACGACACATTTACAGTTCCTGTATGTATTCTGTGTAATTTAAACCCTTGTTATTATGTCAGTATAATTGTCCAAAACCTGCTGATTTGGAAAAAATTTTTTTTTTGTTTCCTGCTTTTAGGGTGTTGGCACAGTCGTTTCAGGAACTCTCCTACAAGGTTTCATTAAACTAAACGATACATTATTATTGGGCCCTGACGCTCTTGGCATGTTCCAATCTGTGCCAATAAAAAGTATACATCGCAAAAGAATGCCTGTTCGTGAGGTACGAGGTGGACAGACTGCCTCATTTGCTTTGAAAAAGGTACACATAAGTTATTGTATTTTTTTTTAATTGATCTTCAAAAATAGTAAAATATTGATTATAGATTTAAAGCTTGTAAATAAGTGTCTGCCAATATTGGCAAACTGAGCTCTTAGTTTTTTATCTTTAACCTGCTAGGGGTACACATTTATGTTTGCTTTGCTAGATCAAAAGAGCATCAATCCGTAAAGGTATGGTGATGGTGTCACCACGTATAGAACCAAAAGCTTGCTGGGAGTTTGAGGGAGAAATTCTAGTCCTGCACCACCCAACAACAATCAGTGTCAAGTATCAGGCCATGGGTGAGTGTTCATTGGCCGTCAGTTTGTTCAGGGTGAAATAACTCCAACACCAGCCAAAACAATGTTTTCAGCACTTGATCATCATGTCCCTGTACACACTTCCCAGTTAACAACCTCCATCTACTATCTCTCACATGTATGTTATACCCACATTCAATCTGGGGGTAAACACAAACTCAACTCACAAACACACTATTCCCTGTGTCGGACTATTCTAACCTAGCCATCAAGTGACCCCTTAACAGAGAGTGATACCAACTCATACACTCTTCTAAGCAGCTAAGATGAAGGGTTATTGTTCCTTGTTAATCCATTAAGTAGTAAATAACAGTAACTGCTCTTTCTGCAACATTAATTGTTCTGTTTATTTTAATTAAGACTCATTGTACATTTCTGATTAATTAATATTCATTGTGCATTTTGGATTAAAATTGGTTGTACACTTTGAATACCGATAGAACTTTATTGTGTAATTGAAACTTTTATATTTTAGTTCATGTTGGAAGTGTACGTCAGACAGCAACAATAATATCAATGACAGAAGACCATCTAAGGACAGGGGATAAAGCAACGGTACGGTTCCGTTTCATCAAGAATCCAGAGTACCTTAAGACTGACATGAGAATGGTGTTTCGAGAGGGCAGAACAAAGGCGGTGGGCAACATCACCAAACTCTTCCCCCACGTCAGCGCCGTCGCCCAGAACACCAGACACCAGCGGTCAGCGAAAAAGTCCCAGCAGGACAAGCATTCGGTCAACCCCCAGAATGAACCTCAGAAAGCCAGCAAGAGAAACAAGGGACTGAAGAAAGGTGGCATCTTGGAGGAGACAGACGGAAGGGAGGCTAGCACGTTAAGACCTAGTGATTCTTCTGTCACAATGTCAGACTCATCCTCAACAGCAGCAACTTAACATTTTGATGTTCACATCTTGTACACGTTTCTCAACCCGTCATCTCCTAGAATGTGTTTTTAAAATAAAAGTTTAGATGTTCAACCGAAAAAAAAAATTTGATTTTTCTTAAACTCAGTTTTGTTTTGTGACTAAAAGTGTGACAGATCCAAACTTTGCTTTAAGAATCCAAAACTTTCATCACTCATCTCATGATTTAGAGGAATTTTATTTGATGAATCTACCACAGGAGTATAGAAGTTTTTTACTTTGTAAATGTTGTTGCCATGTGTAGTCACATTCACTAGTACAAATGTTTAAACACCCCGGTACACCATTTGCTAAAGAATATTTTAGTCATGCACTGTTTAACTGTCTAGTCGATTTTAATTTAATTGTGGCCATAGACAAAATTAAATTCTTGTCCATGTGCTGCAAAATCATTGAACACTTTTAAAAAAAAATGTAATTATTCCCCTTTTTTTGCTCTCTTAGGGTGTGTGATGAAATAAATTTTATTTATTCTTATATTGTGTTTTCTGCACGTGTGTTGTAGTTAGCTTGTTTTTGCAGACTCGTATATTGTTGGGGATCATCAATTTGAGGCTTTAAAAATCTTATAAAAAAGGGATTTATTTTTTAGTATGCATATAATCATTTATCTCCCTTATCACATAAATCAAACGTCGGCTGAATAACTTACATGGTTGGATACAAAAGAACTCCCCAATCTCGTTAATGCAACTTAACAATTAACTAGAATCTCTGACAATTCTGGCACGTTACACTTTGTTTTTTACACTGGAACCTGTCAGCTGAACACTGCGCCTGATTGACGACGGTTGCTCACCTTTAGACAGGTAGTTGAAGTATACACGACATGTAGCAGTCCTTTTTATAATGATTTTTATTTTTTACTTGGTTGTTTTTTTTTAAAAAAAACAGCGATTTATTTCTGTCAATATTGAGTAGGCTTCATATTGACTTCCGATTACAATTTACAAAAACGAATTTTAAAAAATGCAGTAGTGTGTACAAACTATGAATTCCCCTTCCCCATCTTCACAAAAGTCAGACCTCCACCCTGGGAGTGTGACGTTGTGTACGGATGATCCCATATGGTGTAACATCCCATGATACCCCAGTGTTATCCCATACCTTCATTCCCCTTTGTCTCCACACCCATACTTCTCTACACTCGCTCTCGCCTACCATTCAACTATTTATAGCGGAACGTTTTAAGGTTTTAGCGTATTATTCTACACTATAGATTTATTATACCATAGCATCAGATGTACTTCCAATGTAGTCTCGGTCACACTAAGCTGTACAGAGTTTCTTCCAGGCATCTCTTCGGGGGGGGGGGGGGGGGGCTCCGCCTACCGCCCCCCCCCCCCCGAACGAGATGGATTTTATATAGTAAACATACACTTCTACTAGTGTCCGTCCCCCCGAAAAATGTTGACCGCCCCCCCCCCCCCCGGAAATTTCAAGTTCCCCCCCCCCCCCCCCCCCCGGAGAAAAAAGTCTGGAAGAAACACTGAAGCTGTAGCCTCAATCCCATTCAGAATTACCACAGCAAACGTGGGTCACTCATCAACTTATCAAGTGTTTGTTGTGTTACACCCATACAAGTATTTGGTGTCCCACCTACGACGTAAATAAAATCTCTGTGATCCTGCGCCCTCTTCGGAAACCAATGATTTTTTTATTCGTTAGCCTTAATTAAATAAAGGCATTGTTTGTCTTTACCGTAACGCTTTTTCTGGATATTTTTAAGCTTTTTTCGTGTATCGATCACTTGGCTGTTAATACTAGTCTAGGCAACAATTGGATTTTTTTTAAAAAGTAGTATCAATAATTCACGTTGTCGAACAAAGACACTTTTTTTTTGTTTTAGTTTACACAAATTATGGTTAGTGCACATCAAATCATTCATTTTGGAACAGCACCGAAAAAAAAAAAAACCACTATCAAACAATTGATTCGATTCCACCGCGAACTCCAGCCTTGGCGGAAGACAAAGACTACTCGTATGTCAACGTGTGTGTGTTGTCTCCCATGATTTCTTTGTTGACATGAAGAGGTAAACCTTTCTTTGTCAGCTACAAAATCGAGTGTCCTAGGGAACGACCGAAAGTGTGACATGGTTTTTTTTTTAAATATTGGTGGATCGAAACAATGACTGGCTGAAATTTACCCCAGGAAATTAGCATTTTTTTAGCAGTGTGTCAATTATTTACAGTACTTACGCTAAATAATACTAAATAGGGTATTTCAGCACATCGTAAACAGAGTTCCTTTCAGGCATTTTTTCGTGGATGTCTGCCGACGAAATGAAAGATGGCAAGCTAACAGCGTCCACACCCTTCTTTCTGAAATTATAAGTGCCGCCCTCCCCGGGAAAAAATTCTGAAAGAAAACCTGATTGTAAATAGAATTTTCTTTTAAATAATTGCCTTAAATAGTTATATTGAAGTCATTTGTTGCACCCCCCCTCTTCCCCCACCGTCCCCACCAACATCACTAGAGAAGGAAAGTGTACCACTTTTTCTGCCACACAGTAACTACCACAATCTTTGACCAACCCTAGCTACTACATTGAATCAACATCTTCTATAACTACAGAGTTACAAACTATTATTTACTGACTAGAGCTTATGTTTACTTACTATAACTTATGTTTACTGAAGGGAAATGTAATAGCTATCTGCAAAAAACGTGTACAAGAACACGTTTTTAACAGCATTCATCAACACCATCCAACAGCAGTGGCGCTTCCATGAGGTGACATGCGATAACCCCTCCCCTTTATTTCTTTTAACTAGATAGGGCAATGTTTCACATCTTAATGATTTTTCGATTTGATGTCACCCCTTAAATGGTGTCATCCCTTACAATGGTGTCATCCCTTCCAATGGTGTCATCACTTACAATGGTGTCATCACTTAAATGGTGTCATCACTTAAATGGTGTCATCACTTAAATGGTGTCATCACTTAAATGGTGTCATCACTTAAATGGTGTCATCACTTAAATGGTGTCATCACTTAAATGGTGTCATCACTTACAATGGTGTCATCACTTAAATGGTGTCATCACTTAAATGGTGTCATCACTTAAATGGTGTCATCACTTAAATGGTGTCATCACTTAAATGGTGTCATCACTTACAATGGTGTCATCACTTAAATGGTGTCATCACTTAAATGGTGTCATCACTTAAATGGTGTCATCCCTTACAATGGTGTCATCCCTTCCAATGGTGTCATCACTTAAATGGTGTCATCACTTAAATGGTGTCATCACTTAAATGGTGTCATCACTTAAATGGTGTCATCACTTACAATGGTGTCATCACTTAAATGGTGTCATCACTTAAATGGTGTCATCACTTAAATGGTGTCATCACTTAAATGGTGTCATCACTTAAATGGTGTCATCACTTAAATGGTGTCATCACTTAAATGGTGTCATCACTTAAATGGTGTCATCACTTACAATGGTGTCATCACTTAAATGGTGTCATCACTTAAATGGTGTCATCACTTAAATGGTGTCATCACTTAAATGGTGTCATCACTTACAATGGTGTCATCACTTAAATGGTGTCATCACTTAAATGGTGTCATCACTTAAATGGTGTCATCACTTACAATGGTGTCATCACTTAAATGGTGTCATCACTTAAATGGTGTAATCCCTTCCAATGGTGTCATCACTTACAATGGTGTCATCACTTAAATGGTGTCATCCCTTCCAATGGTGTCATCACTTAATTTAATCATCCGATAAGGCTACAGCCCACCAGCTCTTCAAATGACTCACACCAGCCCTTATACCTAGAGGGAAAACCGGAACATGACAAAACAGTTTTTTGACAGTCATAAAAGACTCATATTTTTGGTTGTGAGAAGGTTAAAACTCATAAGAAAAGAACAAAACTCATAAGAAAATAATAAAACTCATATAAAAAACAAAGCTCATAAGCAAATAACAAAACTCATAAAAAAATAACAACACTCATAAAAAAGAGAAGAAAACTGATCAGAAAAAAATAAAACTCGTAAGAAAAGAACACAACTCATAAGAAAAGAAAACTCACAAGAAGTAGCAAAACTCACAAGCAAATAACAAAACTCATAAAAAGAGAACACTAGCGCTAGGAACTAGTACCACTTACTCACCAACTCACAAAGCAACACGATGACCTAGATTTGCTGAGCTCTGCGTCCCCTCACAACGACAACCACATGCCCAGTCACAGAATTTGTTTCCCTCTTCTCTTCGGGGGGGGGGGGGGGGTGCGGTAGGACATATAGGCTATATCTTATATTTAAATAAAACAAAAAAGTTTATATTTTCTCTATAAATTATAAATATTTTATATTTCGTCCGGTGTGTGTGGGTGAAGGAAGTGGGAAGAGGGGGGTGGGGGAAGGTGATTTCTCTTCCTCCCTTCAAAGTCGTCTACATGGAAACACAGATTAAAAAAGAAAATTCAATTTCGCATGTTTTTGCACTCTATTATAATAGAATTACCAACTGAAACATTTTCTCTGTTAGATTTATCGTAGAGCTTGCTCTATTATCGAATGGCTTAATTTTTTTTAGTGCGGGCAGGCATTTATCTAATGATAGAATTAATATATTCTGGCAGTGGTTCAGTCGAAAACTGTTGTTTTTTTTGACAACTCATTAACTATATGTATTTATGCTTCGTTTTTTATAGTAGTCTATCGACTTATAAATATCAGAGAAAATGTAGCTGCAGTCTACACATAAGGCTTCCTTTTATTGAAAAAACTGAAAGGAAGTCTACATTTGATACAAGTATTAAACTAAAAGTAGGTCGTTTAACGCATGCGTGTTTACGTAAAAATATATGCATTTAATTAAAAATGTGTTTACGTAAAAATATATACATATAATTTAACATTATATTACGTAAAAATATATGCATTTAATTAAAAATTGTAGGTACGTAAAAATATATGCATATACTTAGACATTTATTACGTAAAAATATATTCATTTAATTAAAAATTGTAGGTACGTAAAAATATATGCATATACTTAGACATTTATTATGTAAAAATATATTCATTTAATTAAAAATGTGTTTACGTAAAAATATATACATATAATTTAACATTATATTACGTAAAAATATATGCATTTAATTAAAAATTGTAGGTACGTAAAAATATATGCATATACTTAGACATTTATTACGTAAAAATATATTCATTTAATTAAACATTATATGTACGTAAAAATATATGCGTATAATTAAACATTACAAGGACAAGTAAAATAAACCGGTAGTGATCTCCCCTAAACTTTCTCGAATATTCTTATATAAAACAACAGGGGATGGTAACTGGGGATATAGTTATGATTTTTAATCCATTGTAAATACTTAAACTTTTAAAAATAGAATAGAATCTCATAAAAAAAACATTGCGCACCAAGCAAACGCCGAATAAAAACGCGTATAATAGTGCGCAATATTATTAGTACTTTAA